AAAGAGATCTTCATATGATGGAAGAGAATGGACAGAAATAATTATGGAAAATTTGTTGAACTACTGGAGTCTTCTAAGAAACACTGAAAGATACTCCAGCATATGTGGATCCAAATTTGACTGAGACTGCTATGGGTTCAACTTATTCTAGGACCAGTAAACAGCAATCAACAGTAAACTCAATCATTTCTTAGAATATGAAATAATGTGTATATGCCAAGAAGAAATTTTCTTTCCAAAACCTTCAAAGCTAAACTATTTAGAAACAAGTAGTTTTCTGAGCAGCAGAACCACTGAAAACTCATTTCTTATGAGCATGTTTTGAGGTTGACTTTCTGCATGGATTTCCTCATTCAATTCACATTACAGCCTCCCTGTCATGGGACTGCATATACGTAATTTTCACTAGATAGCTGCCTATCTTCCATAAAACTTTGAAGAAAATAACGTCCTTCTGTTTTCTTAATGTCAATTTAGCAGAAATTAGAGAATGGGCTCCAACATTGTTGGGGGCATGGAACAATCAGACAGAGACAGACAGTGTAATTGCACAAGTCTTGCTTTCTCAGGAAAACCAGTTAAATGCATGTGACACACAAAAGCTGCCTCTCTAAAACAGTGGTCCAAACAACAAGAAAAGACAGCCACAGAATCTCTCAATGGACAACTCAGCCATTAATTGCAATCTTATCAGTTCAATTTAGTGCGAACTTGGACACAAATATCACACAGTAATGAAATTATTAACATACAAAACAAACAGAAAAAGAACCGATTTCCTGTGACAACTTTCAACAAGCACACAACAAAGAGAAAAATGAAGAGAACAAAAGTCAAGCTGGACATTGTTGAGCAAGCTTAACAACAATGTCCAAGAAAGTTTCTTTCACCAGAAAGTGAAAATTGTGGCAGGGGAAGTAAAGATGTCTTTCAAAATCTCTGAAAATGCAGACTTTGATTTCTCACAGAGAACAAGACACTGTATGTAGCTATAAGCTTTCACAGGTAAATAGGTACTTGTTCCCACGGTTGTAATAGGAATGGTAGTGTGCAACAGTTATGGAACAAGGAGTATGAAAATGACCATTGACATCTTTACTTCTCATTTCCAAAATCTGGCAAGAGATCGTCCTTCCAAATAGTCCTCAGAGAGGAAGATGCTCTCTTTCAGAAAGGAGTCCATTCAATTTGAGTTAACTGCATTACTTGGTGGTTGCTAACCTAATCGTTATTCTCTCTCTCTTTCTCAAGAAACAGTTACAAAGGAAACTGGTGGAGCCTCAAGCTCATCTACTGAGGCTGTGAAACACTGCTTCCTAACAGGCTTACTTTTTCATGAAAACAACAGGGAAAGTACTAAAAGAAAAAGAATTCTTAGGTTACACAAATGGAAACTGATCTTACACAGCACAATAAACTAACATTTTGCATATTAAAAGCTCCCAGTTACACAATAGACAATATAGAGAGAGGTTAAGATGGATGTATATAAAAGAATCCCATGATTTTTCAACGTGAAAGAACACTGTCAAAGCCTCCCAAAGAAAAAACTCTTCCTGAAAATTAGCTATTTGACTACCAGTAATAAAAGGGTACTTGTAAGAGACCTAGCACACAGTATGTGAGAGTCTTCTCCCTGGTAATTGTATATATTTTCTCACAAAGGGTTTAAAACACATTTAGCACTAAGCCAAGGATCATATGGGTACCTAAGTGAGACAAAAGTTTTCCACTAACGTTATTTCACACATTACTTTTCAACAGCAATCAAAAAATAATTAAAATCCATGAATCATCTTATATAGAATTTAGATTCATTGCAGAAGCTGGAATTGCATTCTTCAGGATGGGTGGAAAATTTCTGAAATAAATGTGTTGGTTTTGTTTTTTGTTTTTTGTTTTTTTTTTTTTTAACTACTTTACCAGTAATAGTTGCAGCTTCAGCAGACAATGGCTGCTGATTGAGACTGCTTGTTTCCGAATCTATGTGGAGTGTAGTTAGACTAGCCACTTCTTGCTCCTCGGCAGTCTGTTGCTGTCCTGAAATTGCATCAGCATCAGTGGAAGCTGGCGTCCCTGCCTCAGTGCCAAAGCTGAAATCTGTATGAGGAAAGCACTGTATTAACTTACAACTTAAAAATACCATTAATATAAAAAACAGAAGCCTAGGACTTCCAAAAACCATGGAAAACTTGTATCTGCATCTCCTATGCCACTAACACACTGTTGCAAAATTTACATAAACTGTAACAGCAGAAAGTAATTGACTATTATAAATATTCTCATTTCTGTCACAAAAATGTGACTGTACTTCTGGAGAAGACATTCCTATTGCATGTCCTGTATTCTGCTTAGTTGCTGTAAGTGCATCTACATGAGAATAAAGTAAAAATAATGGAAAGATACATTAAGGAATTTATTTGCAAAATTTACAATCTGGAAGAAATATCCAAGTTGGCTGTTAAAGTACTAACTTCAAACTAAAAATACTATGGCAAATGATATTCTAAAAAAATTGGTTTTTCAACACTAAAGAAAAAATGTCATGCTGAAATGTAGGTTTAAATATCATCACGTAGTTGCATAACATCTACATATCTAAAAATTGTAATCTTCAATAAATTCTACCATATAAACATTACTTCTTTCTTACATAATACATTAAGCTATTATTCCCAGCAACCATAATGACCCTTTCTATTGAACAAGAGTGGGAACGGATAAATGAAATTAATGAAAAGCATTATTTTATTACAGAAAGCATAATAATTTTAACAAAGCATGCCAATTTCACCATATTACACTTAACATCTTGATTAATCTATAGCTACACAAAGAGTGCTGTAAAAATATCAGAAACACTTCTTTAAGTTTTACCTAAATGTTTTCAAAAGAATTAAAATAACTTCCAAAATAAATAACCTTTCCTTTCTATATTTTGTGTAAAACAGACAGGTATTTTCCAGGGAAAAGACAGTATTGCTTTCTAACTTCTATTCACTGCTGTTCTGCTTTTTGCACAGTAGCATTCCAGTGCTGTTTTGTTTAGTATACTATGAACACAATAGCATCTCTCAAGAATTCTGCTTGCTCCATTAACTTGCTAATAATTTCAATGAGAAATCAAAATAAACTCTCTTTACAGAAAACTGCTGGCATACAACTTTACCAAAAAAAAAAAAAAAAAAGAAAAGGGAAATTTGCAAGCAATCAATCAAAAATGCTGTTACTTCTGGAAAAATATACTTGCTTTCAAATTTGCGGCCATCATACTGGAAGGCACTGAAAGAGTCAGAGTGGCTATCTGAACTGATGAGGTCACTGCTGCCCGCGCTGGCAGGCGATGTCCATTCAGAAGGCACGCCTGGGTCATCTATAGGACGCATTTGGTTCTGTTTGTTCAATATATCAGGAAGGTCTTTAGGAACTTCCAGGCTGCCGGGACTGCTTCCTCTTCTTGTCACATTCTAAACATCAAAGAGACATAAATTATCTTACAATCTTTGATGGCATATTTACATAAAATAGAAAAAGCAATCCCACATTTACAAATGTCAGATTGTAACAAATAGTTCATAAGTACCTAAACTTGAAATTGTCATCATACTACGTACACAGTCAAGACTTTCCAAAACCTCAGACAGGCAGCAGTAAGTGAAGAACACATGCAGTCACAGAATTTCATAAATACAAATTTTATTTGCACAATGAATTTTTGGCCACATATCGTAACAGGCTAGGATTCAGACTAGTATGTGCCACACACGTATTAGGTAAGACTCGAGAGAGAAAATTAGTAAAAAGGTATATTACCTCCAGAATATGTCTGAATTACTAAAGAAAACTTGTTAACCTTGGCTTCAGACAGAAGCAGGAAAAAGTGTCAAGGAATTTAGTGTTGTCTGGCCTATAGGCTACCATGCTATAAGCAAAAATTTAATGTACGCCACAAGCAATGGAATTTACTAATTCATGCATTAATCTTCTTATGATTAAGCTAAAATCTTGGAACTGACTTGGACACCAAAACCAGCATATAGCAGAAATAAGGCATATAGATTTGCTCATGTAAAAGTAAGGTGGTGTTCCATTTGGAGTCTTTCCTTAAGCCAGTCTTTTCATGGATAAGACCGTTTGCTTGAGAGGGGAGAGAGATAAAAGTAGAAAAGCCATTTCATGGAGCAGCTTAAAATCTTTATGCTTTATGAGACTGAAGATGAATTCCTTTTACACAAGGCACAGACACTTCTCTATTCTTTTACTACCCTATTACTAATTGGAGATTTACTCAGATTGACAAGCTTTTCATGATACAAGGTTTTAGCATTCAATAGATATAACAACCTACCTAAAACAAATCTTAATAAGTTGGTATTGTGTTTTAAGAAGGTGTATCTATTTTTGTGTGCTAGATTACAAAATCAGTGGTAGTTTCAAAATATGTATTCAAACTTATCTTGGCTGATTTTTGCTACCCAAGGAAAGTATCAATTCTCTTGTCTCAACTATTAATAATCAATATTCTTGTCCATCTATGTGAAAACAAATAGTATTCCCTCTCTTTCTCACTTCTGTGGCCAGCTGTGATCATTTCTGTTTTATTAATTCGCAGACTAAGTTAACATTTTTTTACAGACTTCAAGTTAGCATTTTTGTCTTGTAACTCCCACTTCGCACCAACAATCAAGTTTCATAAACATGAGTTCAATACAAAAAAGAAAAAAGGATACACTTGGACAAACTCTATAGGTCCTCTCTTGCCATTTATAAACAATGACGATAAATAAACAAATTTTTCCAATCACTTCAAAGAATCTTCTTCTGCTCCTTATTAGCAACAACTAAACTACCTGTTGACAACTTTCTGCAGGAGCATGTCTTAAAATGACCTTCTAAAAAAAAAATCTTACAAAATTCTGAGCAGAAAAAAGAACTGAGCAACTTTGAAATGCTACATTTAAATTGTTACCCATTCTGCTCTTCATTTGCAACTTTTTTTTTTTAATATTTCCCCTTCTGTTGCTAGTTAATAAAACATTTCTCTCTTCAAATCAGTTGTATCATTCTGCAAGCATTCAACAGTAACCAGAAATTCTTGAGTTAAAATTGATTAAAATTTCTCATTATGAATGCCATTCCAAACAACATGACACCTCTGGAAAAGTGTAGGAAGAAAGCATACGAAAAGTTGGTTCAATTAGCAGAGAACTATTTACAAGAAATAATTCAACACTTGTAAGTGAAATTAAAAAATGAAGGAAAAACATATACTGGTATAGTTTCACCGTCTGTTGCACTGACTATACCTGTAGAGAACAGCACCATACTACAGCATGATACCTAACTACATACCACACTGAAGACTGCAAACTTACATAAAAACTATTATTCTGAAAGCTTCTGTGTACAAAGATCTTTACAGGTGCAATTAAGGCCATTTAATTCCATGAGACTGTTCATCTGATAGTAACTTCTGCATTGCTTCCACAATGAAGATTTAACAGATATGAAAACACAAATGGCATAATAGCATGAATTATGTCAAGGGCAAGGAATAATTAAGTGATATTCTTAATTCTTTCTGATTCATAAAATCCAGAGAAATATGTTTTAGTGAATTGATTTATAATGTCATTGACAGGTTCACGCATATATGCAGACTTACATATTGAAATGCAGGAAGTTTAAAGGCTTACCAGTGCACTACCACTGCGGAGTCTCTCAGCTATAAATTCATCCATGAGGTCAGGAACATTTGTATTGCTACTGCCAATATCACTATCAATAGGGTGCAGCTTTTGACTCATGTCCTCTCTATTAGCTAAAAGCAAATGAACAACCATATATAGCAAAGAACACATCAAGACGTTTTCAAAACAAAACGTAACAAATGAAAAAATTTGCTAATTAACAGAAATAAAAACATCAAAATTGCCAAACATGCATTCTAAGAATTTCCCTCTTTTAAAGCAGATTCTACTTTAAGAATTAGTATGGCTGCTTCTTCCCACTAAGCAGGGGTTAGTCGATTTCCAGTCCCACCTTTAAGAGCAAAAAGCTTATAGGTAAGCACTACTCAAAGTTGTTAATGCTTGCTTTAAGGATACAGCATATATTCTTCCTCCATATCACAACAAATAAGTAACAAATTCTAAAAATTTTATATGATTCCTACGGGCTCCTTCTTCATTGCATTCCTAATGAAGAGCAATGTACTGGAAAAAGTAAACTACGTTGTAATATGTACTAATGACAAATGTCAATGTGGCACTGCACACAGTTAGTATAAATAGTGCAAAGGCAATATTACGTAATAAAATCACATGCTAGTACGTGGAATGAAAATTCAAACTCTGGATGGCCAATGGTTATGAACAGTTAATTAAGTACACTCATTTATCAGTGTTATATTTTTGAGAGAACTATACTGTTCATATTAAACTGTGGCTGTTACACCTGACTTCATGATCTTCAGCTTTAAAGTCTTCAAGTTATTCCAGTTCATGTTTTCTCTGTAACAATTTTTCCCTCAGCATCATCTCTCATGAGACCACAGTGTAGTTTATTCTAATAATGAGGCTCTGTTAAATGTTACACATTTCAAATAAAAGGTATTTATCAAATTAGTGCTTTCTAGATATCTCTTTTTCAGAAGTCTAGATTCTGCAGAGAAGTAAATCGCTTTTTTGAGGTCCATGACAGTCACGCTCTCATGGTGCTACGCTTACAAAGAGTGCCCTCAGGTGGCATTAACATCTCGATGCAGGATGCATTACAGAATCCTCTGTTAATCGTGCCAGCATAACAATGGGAAAAAGAAAACCTACATTACTGCTGAAAGTTCATTTATTGTTCATTTAAGGTTACGTGAACTAAGACAATGGGTATTAGAGTGACAGCCTTCTTTTTGCATTAGTTCACAGAGGTCTCATAGTTAGCAGGAGCAAGACTATCATGAGACCTTCATGAACATCCATGATTCCAAGAAAAAAGAAAGCAATGAAAGATGTTGCCAAGATGTAACTGCATCCATTTTGATGAACGAACACAGAAAGGCCTACAGCATGTTTTGAAAAAGACTCAAAGAAAACCTTATGATTAGACTCACAGAGAACCGTCGTAATGAAATCATTCCAGCCATAGGAGATTTCTGTTTCAGATTATTTTTTAAAAGTTATTTAAACTGACCTCCAAATGTAAATTTGAGGGGCTTTTTTGTTTTGGGGGAGGAAAAGGAGGAAGAGGAGGAGGAGGAAGAAGAAAACACACTAAATGAACCAGAAATATAATTAGCTCAACCTAGCTGGCTGAGAGCCAGGTCCTTCTGACAAACTACACTCAGAGTGGAGCAGCACATTCTGATAAAATATGCATATGCTGGTCATTCAGTAGGCTGAATTTTAAGCCTCTGCATGCCGGATGAAAATTCAAAACTCTCAAGGCTTAATCCTTTATTAGGTCATTTACTGTCTCTTCCTCTTCCCTAACCTGATGGTCTTCAGCAGCAAAGAGGTTCAACTAAATATCTTGAAAAGGGAAATTAGTAATTTAAAGTATGTAAAAGTAACTTATGCTGGGAGAAAAATCAGCTGGCTGTAGGCGCATGCATAACCAAACAGGGAAAGCAGTGATCAACCCAAAGCCTTTTGATTGCTTATCAGAGCTTGCTTCAGTTGCGTTAAGCCAAACTGGTGCTGCCTTTCTCCTTTTGCGCTCTGCACACTGTTAGTGCTCACCTGCAGCTTTCCTTCCAAAATAGCCCATTACATGACTGTACAGATCCCTCAGTGGAGCCTCTGCTGGCATTCTGTTCTGCCTCTGTGGGGAAACATTTGCCTTCGGCTTCGAAAGAGCATGTACAACAGTTTTATAAACACCACCCAGGGAGCCCTGCTGTTGTGCTGACTCCTGACCTAATGCTCTAAAGGCACTACGACTATGGAACTGATTAACTGCAATACCTTCTTTTTGCAACATGGCTGCTTGAGTTTCTGTAGGTTCCTTAATTTGCTTGCTGCCAGCTGAAGCAGCATTGATCGCATCTAGAGGTCTATATATTCCAGGTCTAACCAGTTCTGTGACACCTGATGAGCTGGTGCTAGCACTGGTACTGCTGCTGCTGCTACCACTACCGCTACTACTGAAGCCACTGAGTTTACGAAGTCTTGCTTTCCAAGCGGCCTCTTTGCTCTCAAGAGGATTGTAAAATTGAACTGATTCTGTAGATGGCCTAAAAGTAACATGAACGCTATTTCTTTTTTTAGTCGTTATTTTCATGATTTTGGCCCTATGAGTTACAGTTTCAGATATACTCCTTTTAGTTGGTGACAGTTTGCTTGTGCCTGTGATGTGAGGCATTTGAGGGTTAACTTGTGCTTTAGGAAGAATTTTCTTTGCATGCATAACACGTGAGTTGGTTACTTTTTCATTAAACTGGGCACTTTTATGCTTTTCAGCTACCGTCGCTTCCACAACTAAATCTACATCAGCTTCAGTGGCTGCTTGCCTGTACAGGTATCTCTTCCCTTCTTTGCTGCTAGGACTACTTGACCCATGATCAAACACGTTTTCATATTGCTTATCAATATTTAACTGTCTGGCTTTATCAAGCGCTTGATTTCTTGTAAAAATGTCTATTTGAGTAGGTGCAATATTACTTATAAAGCCACTTTGGTTTTGTTCTAGGTGCAGCTCTGTGTTATCGGCTCTTTCTGTAACAGTGATGCTATTCGTGCATTGACCAGTCTGATCTCTATTTTCTAATCCATCCAGTGGTAATCTATCATTCCTATTTACTGATGTATCAACTTCGTGAGCAGAAGCCTCACATTTATCTATCTCAAAGTTACCGCAAAGTTCTTCTTTTTCTTTAAGATATTCTCTCAGAGAGGAAAGGAGATCATCTTCACCTTCAAGGTCAACATATTGGCTTTGTTCAAAGGTTGTGTTTGCAAATTCTACTGGCCCTATTAAATGACAAAGATGGTCATAAATACTATCCCCAACTTCCAAGGAGGACTCTCTGCTATTTGTATCAGTGACATGGCTTTCAGCGGATCTATGCATTGAAGAGGTCTCAGTGGAACTCTGTAAGCTTGGAGCATGATGGGATGAACTGTCAATGACAGGAACTGCACCTTTGGCTCGTTCAACTGCGAATGGTTCCAGGATGTCAGAGGTGCTGCTGCTTCGTGGCAGTGGCTGTTCCTCATTTAATGCACCAAAAACTTCACTTGGAGCATCTTCACTCTGTGAAAAATGTCTGACTCGAGGTGGACGTGGAAGAATTTGAGCATCGTCAATGTCTGCAGGAAAAAAGTATATGTAACATGCACTAAAATTTACATACAGAGACAGTATTTATTTACCACTACATCCTAATTGCGTGACTTTAAAAGCCAGGAAAGTCCAGAGCCTTGTTTTCTTAAGTACAACAACAATACTTTTTCCAGTACTAGAGTGTTAAAAACACACGCACATAATATTCAGTACAGAATGTAATATAAATGAGTTAGATCATCAGAACACGGTTTTAAACGTTAACATGCATGAGAACAAACAGTGAGACCATGGAACATTTGGAAATACAGTTAAAGCTAGGGCTGTGCCAATAAGTTCAAGAATTCAACCAATATTATTTCAGCTAGCTTGTCAGGAAATGGTTACCTGGAATATAAATTAGCTTAACAGTAGTACTCTTCATGGAATTTACATTTTCAGAAAAATGCGTAACTCCAAAGAAAACAAGTAAGTTTTCTGGAAAATTAGAATTGTCTGTTGAAGTGGTAAACTTACTTTTTCATAACTTGTATGAATATACCTAAATTACTGAAGTATCGGAAAGAATACTATCATACAATTATCAATAGTATGGTATATATAATGTAGCATATACCTAAAGACTAAAGCTTTTAAATGGCAGGGAAGAGCTGACCCTATACAGAAAAGATGACTATACATAATGGATAATTTAAAGATACACCCTTTTTTCCGTAGAAGGACGTTTTGTCTCTCATCTTCAAAACACGAAACTAAATACTTAATGGAGGCTTACCTCTCCTTTTCTTCCAGTTTTACTCAAGCAAATGTGACATTTATGAGAATTACCAAATTAAGGACTCCGCTACTGAAAGACATCCTGCAGCCTCACAACAGTTAACATCAGAGTAAACCCACTTTTGTTTATGAAAAGACCATAACATTTGTTACGATCATTTAAATTAGCGATTCCTTGTCTCTGTTGAGATATGCTAATATGTTAGCATCAGTACAAATCATAGTTAACCGTAATGAAAGCTGTAGTTCCAACATGGATCACCTAGGAATTGTAGAGAAGTACCTTCAGCCCACTTCACATCATCCACCAAAATAAAGAACTTTCACGCTCCTCTTCCAATTTTCTGATATGTTATAGGAACAATACTATCAAATCCTTGGTGTAGGCAAGACTAAGTATCTCTTACAGACAATTCAACTAATTGCAAGATTTCGTGCTGTCCCTTGCAGTCTTTTTTTGGGACAGGCACTTGAACAGTAAGGCAAAAACAGCTTTCTCAATTTTCTGTTGGTTTCTTTTTGATAGAATCCTTCATTCCCTAGATTTATTTTTTACTATCTACCACTTAAAAAGATGTAGATATGCTTTATAGTCAGGAGTAACAATAAAGAGCTTAATGAACACCAACAAGAGTTACTTGCCACAATAAAGACTTACCTTGTTGTTCTATCTAGAGGGTTTATCTTCAGCACTGCAATGGTGAATTTACTTAAAATCACCACAAAATTTAAGCCCCTTTTGCCCCCCTAAATCTGATGTGTTACTGCCAAAATAAAGAAACCATGTTGAATTCATTTCAAAATATTGCAAATTATTACTTCATGGATCTTTATACCTATTTCAGTAATATTTAATAATGATAATCTAAAGTCACCCTGAAAACCTGTTTTAAAGTGTGCACACTTTTCTGAGAATGTTAGAGCTGGAGCTGCATTTTCTTGTATTTTCCTTCTGAGCAAAGCATATAAACTGGACGAATGAGATACATCTGTACTTAACTAAATGTATGCATTGGAAGAAAATGAAAAGTGGTATTTCCATGCTCAGTTTTTCAGAGAAGTTAAAATTTGAAAATCAAAAGTTTGACCTGATACAAAGTTTACTGAACTGTGAAGAAGCTATTAGACAAGAAATAGCGAGGTCTATACTAGAAAAAGAGAGTAGACATCCAAGTTATTTCAGATAATGAACATGAACCGAAAAATCATTGTATATGGCACATTTTATTAACCCCTTCCTCTCTCTCCAGCATTGATAAGCAACAAATTTCCCATCATTGCTCTTGTTCAACTTATTACTAACTATATGAATTAACACCCTCTGAAATAAATGGCCTCTCTCTCTAGTTGGAACTGTTATTTCAAACTCTCTACTGATTTAGGCAGAGATTAACAGAGGTAATGCTTATATAGTCTCAAAGTTATTTCTCACAGCTGCAAAGAAAGGACCACAGGATTCAGTCAAAAATACAAATGATGTTACATATGAGATTAATATATGTAACTGTGATACACCGATCTCATCTTGAGTTCTCAATATACATCTTTCACACTTTTTATAAACTCATGTTTATCTAAAGCAGCAGCCTGAGGATTGCGTATTGTCCATGCATGCAGTGGTTATGATTTTCTAGGATGTAAAAAATTACTGGATGGAGAACTCCAAATGCACGTCAAGCAGCTCCATACATTGAAATAAATTCACCTAGATTTATTTCAATGTTGATCCAGTATTAATTTTAGGTGCTCACATATGCATGACTAGCATATACAAGTACACAAATATTTTCAAACAAACATGTAGTGCCTGTGCCAACAGTGATTTCTTCTTTGTAGAACAGAGGAAGAAATTAAGGAAATGAAAAATATCCTGTTATTGCAATATCAGCACTGAAAATACAGACAACATTTAAAAACCCAAATGAAGAGCTCCTTCACAACCAGGGCTCACCCTTGCACACCAGTACAGTGAAACTGGGACACCACCAATTCCTAAGGAGTTTTCACTAACTGCATTGCAACTGTGCACCAGAAGGCTGTGTATCTGACACGTTGCATGTACTCTGGAGAAACACTGTCTGGTTCCTAATATGTTACAGCAAGGAAAAGATTGAAACTGGTAGTTCTAGCCAATCCCACCCAATCACAACTTTCCTTAGATCAACCTTACCTCTCCCTTTTTCTGCTAGAAGGCAGAAAGAAAAGGTAGTTTTTCAGCATCAAGTGGGAGATAGATACGCTAAAACACGAAATCATGGAGACACACATTCTGGCAAGGCAGCATGAGTGCAAGCAGAAGATCCCCATATAACATTGGCACAGGATTATATTTCATCATGGAAAGTTAGTTCAGAAAGTGGAGAAAAAACCATGATTTGATTCCCAGCTTTCATTTAGATTCTTTTAAAAGAACACACTCGTTCTCTGTGAGTTTCTGGGATTAAAGAATAATTACAGCCATACTGACGTTACAATTATGATTCCTTAATGACTACTTACTGATTAGGGAGCAAGGTTGTAAAGGCATAACATACATCTCCCTTTCATGTTAGTACTCCCTTTCATTCTTTTAGTCCCAGTGGATAAGGAAAAATCTCCCACCTTCATTTGTTTGCTATTGTGGCCCATTGCTTCCACGAACCTTGCCTACATCTCACCGACACTTCTTTTCACAAGTGGTCTTGTACCTGAAAATCCTCAACAGTTCGAGGAATGAATGGTTATTTTGCTAGTTATTCTCTAAACATGTAAGACTGGATTTGCTATGATTCTAACAGGTTAAAAGAAAAGTTCTTTTCAGAAATATTGGAGATGTGCAACAATTACACTACAGCAAATCACTTTACTAACTAAACATCTTAAAGCATAAATCTCCACTTCCAATTTCTGGATCCTATTTGAAAAGTTGCAAATATTCTGCACACGGAAATACAGTATAACTTAGAAACTACATGAAGGAGTTACAGTCTTAGGAAAAGCACGCTCTGTGATGCTAGATGACTAGATATCAATATTGAATTTTCACAATAAATCTTGTTAACCTACTGACCGATCTTCAAGCAGAAACATTGTGTCTCAATAAACAGCAATTTATAGTGGGATGTTCTGCCTTACTTTTGAAAATTAATATACTGTACAGTACATAAGGTAAAGGTTTTGGCATAAATGCTTTCTTTTGGACTACCTGTCAAGATTCACCAGTGTTCAGTGAGTCAGTCTTCCAAAGACGAGTTTCACAGCTAAAAAGCTGCTGAATACTACTTCAGAAAACTTAAGATTAGGGAAACATTCTTTTGGAATCATTTGAAATATCCTTCCTTCAAGTTGTGTTGGATGTGAAAGTCAAGTTTGGATAACAGGGATATTCATATAATTGTGAAATAAAGAGGCAGGGCTGTCACAGCTAGCTAAACATCATTCATTACCTAATGCACACTTATGATAGAAACAATTTTATTACTTCCCAAATTACATGCTGTACATCTGGACACAGAAGGCTTTCAAAAAAGAATCTATTAGTGTAAGAAGAAAAAGCAAGCAAAATGATAAAGCTTCATGTTTAAAACAAAAAGGAGAGAGAGAGCACGCACGCAATAAAAAAAACCACAGAAAATTAAAATAGCAAAGTGCACTCTAATCTGGTGGATAGTTTTTCCTTTAGTCTGCTATTTCCCCATCAACACTCTAATGGCTTGCTTTTCTTCACTAGAGCTTTTTAGTTTTCTGGCAATGTTCAAGATTCTTGGGCACATCATGAAGCCATTTCAACACCCATTTGTTTGAGAAGATACCAAAAACAAGAAGTGCCTAGGACTTTTTCTGTTAGAAGTGCAAAGGTCTGTAAAACTTAATCACTTTTAAGAATTACATTGGTCATGCAGTTTTTGTACCTGATGAGTATCAACAGAGAGGATAATAGCAAGAGAGCCATCAAATTTGGGACACATTAGAAGAAAGATGCATAGCAGGACTTTTCAGAAACATGGATGATAAAATTGACTGCAAAGCACTTTTGCCTTCTTTAAGACAGGATAATTAAGTATCAGTGACTATGTGACAAAATAATAGTTCACACTGAAAGCTCATTCCCTTCTGCAGATGCTCTTAAGATCTTCATTAAGAATTGACTATTTCCAACAACGTGATGGCCAGGTAACATCTATTTCCTAAGAGGTTGTTCACGTATCATTCCTACAGAAAAAACTATCTTCTGAGTTCTAATAATTTATATCTCAGAAAAGATATGCTTTGCACTCATACATTTATCAATTTATTACACATAATTTGTATTTTATTATTCTCTATGGTGTCAAGATTTGCCTTCAAATACTTTATATTTTTTCATTGTGAAAGTCTGGTCTCTCTGGAGTGGGTTTCTTGAACTTTCCTGAGTCTCCATTTACATTTTTGGATTGAATACTAAGGCACCAAGTTTTTGTTTCAAAACAAAAAGACTTAATTTTGGACATATAAGAAAATACAATTATGAAAATACAGTTCTTGATACTTCTTGGGTAACAAAGGCAGGCAGGAGAGACAGAAAAGAGAAAAAAAGAACACATCTTCTATAAAAAAAAATTACTGCCATTAAGTCCTTACATTTGTACACAGTTTTGACTATATATAGCCCTCCTGCAGTGCTTGCCTCTTTTTTTTTTTTCCCCACTCATTAAGACAAAGGCATAATAAGATTGCCAGCCTTAACACACTACTAATTTACCCCTATGTAATAGCTGGAGTACATGAAAAAAAACATTATCTGTAAACTTTCATGCATGCATTTTCAAAATCTGTGCTAATTCTAACTATTGAACCTATTTGTTCAAAGAAAATTATCCAAAAGAAAGCTACTGCCAACTTCTAGTCAACCACACTGCTGGATCAAATGCAATGTTGAGGAAAACTACAACTCTGTAAAATATGGATCATTTGGAAAACAACACTAAAACACAGTACTTCAGAATTCCAAACCGTATAGATTTTTTAATGGTTTTATATATTAGTGAAAAACAGTCAGACTCTAAAGTGTATTATATGATACGGTATACTTCAGACATTCTTTTTTGATGGGACCTAAAGTATATCATTATCATGGTTACCCACACATCTATGACACTGAATTCAAAAATTTACATACAAAGATGTAAATTGCAAATCGAAGTAAAATTATGTTCTTCCTTTCCCTCCCTCACTCATCATAAATAAAAACTTTAGATTAGTTGTAGTCTCTGATAGACAGATGCTATATTACTGCTTACCAATAAATTGAAAAAGCAAGAGATTTCTCCAATTTTCACTTTTATGATCACAATCATTGGCACAGCACTAACTTCTAACAGTTCCAGAATGAATTGCAAAATAGCGTGGTATTTTACATAACTCAGAATATTCATTCTTAATCTCTTCCCCTCTCCCCCCATCCCCCAAGTATTTTTACTTTGAAAAAATTAATGATTTAGCAGAATTTGAAAGCAGAAGGTTTAAAAAAGTGATAAAGGGGGTGCAGAAATTAGCAGAGGTGGCACTACCTGAAAGCTCATCAGAAAGGGGAGTGAGAACAATATCAGGCAAGAAGGGTTTGGAAGTATGGATCAGAACAGGAGCACTTTTAGCACTGCGTATATAGGCCGATGGCAGAGCACATTCACCAATGGATCGGCTTCTCATGGCTTTAAAAAGGAAAAGAAAGAAGTGGGGAAGGAAAAAAGAAGAGTGACTATAATGAAAGGCTTGTGTCACAGAAAAAGCAGCAACAGAGAAAACAAAGATAAAAAGGAAGAAAATTCAAAAATTAAAACATTTCAGCACGGCAGATATTGGCAGAGCTGTAAGAAAGAAAAAAATCAGTGGACACATAAGACATTTTGAGTTTTTAACTTTTATGTAAAGCAGCAACAACGCCTTTATTATGATGATTACAGAGATTTTGCATTCAAAATCAAGAAACTAATTAACACTTTTTTCCCATTGCATCAGGGGTTGAAAAATCAAAGTTAAAGTCACTCAACAAGCACTCAGAACTTGAAATTTTTTAACAGAAAAAGCAACTTACACTACATTTGCATTTTTCTAGCTTCCTGTAGTTTACTCCTGAAAAAGCATCTCTGAATTTTACACATACCCATACTCTTGAATTCATGATTCTCCAAAAGAGATTCAAAAGCATAAGGAGAAAATGACCAGTTCTGTGTGGAGAAATTTGCAATACAACTTGTTATAGTTCCACATTAAAAATGAAGTGAGATGTGAAACAGCTTGACAACAAAAAGCATTAGTTTCTTATCCATAGGGTTTGGCTTTTAATCGGTATTGAATAAATATTGCTAAACTGATTCTAATTCACCTTTTCATATCTCACATCCTGCCAACAGTCCTACAGAATGGAAAACTTAAATAAGAAATGTGGCATCAGGATCAAGGTTATACCTACAGCTTTTCTAATAGATTTAAAATGAATCTTTATGACATTTGTTTTCCTTTGTCAGAGTAAGACATAGCAAGAACTGATACTGCATTCAATCTCAAAGTACACCTGAAGTTCTTCAAAAAGTAAGATTGTTTCAAGCAGCTTCCTTTTCAAACTGTTGCAAATTTGATAACTTGTTTTAAAATAGTTGCTGATAAACTTCTTTTAAGAAAACTTCAGTGCATCTTACATAAATATTGTCAATGAAATATTTAATCAGTCTTTGAACTTTTATGTATATATTTTCAAAACAACATGCAATATAGACTTAGAATCTTAGTGCTCCTGATCTGTATGGGAATCAGAAGGTCATGAATGGAATGCAGTGAAGTTGAGCAAATCACACTTCTAAATCAGGTTAAAGAATTGTCCCTAACAGCAACATGCAGGTAACTTGGGTAGGTGAATGTACATTGAGCACAAAACACATCTGACAAATGCAGCACAACTTAAGTGGAGTCTTAACATCAGTTTGAAAAAACAATTCAGAAAGACAGACATTTTAAGACTGAAGCCATTCTCTATTAAACTTAGTTTAAAAGACAGAAATCATTTTTTTAAAGAAAGCAACTAGGTGTAAGGCTTTAACATCCCTTTGTTTAAGAGATACAACAATAAAATTCAGTATACAGTGATGGTTAGATGCATTACATTCATCATTGTGTATCTTAAAATGAATGCAGGCAAGAGAAAAAATAATAAGCTACATAGGACATCTTAAGGGTCTTTTCCAACCTAAATGATTCTTTGATTCTAAATAAACCAAGTTTTTGAGATTGGATACTGTAACGATAACAAATCTTAACATAACATGTCCCTTGTAATTTGACTGGATCTCTTCCACCATATTACATTGATACTAGCAAAGGGGACACAGAACAACCGATTTACAATTTGGAAGGTGGAAATTTTATAGAAACTTTTGAAGGAAAAATTCCAGTGTATTATTATTGAAAGCAAAATTAACTTTGAAATGCTGTAAAATGTGATCTCTGTGAATTATTATTTTAAATAAGATGTGTCACATTCAATTAAGTAGTTAAGTAGAGGCAGACTTAATACTAGAATGTGGACTACATATTTGACAGTTTATAACATTCCACTGTTGTCTATAGACAAAAGCAGAATAATAGGTTAGTAAATTCTTTCTGATCCAGTATTTTTATAGGAGTAAAATCTGCTGCTTAAGCCACAAATTCCTGTATCTGGTCCTATAGAAGATTTTTCAACCCATATGCATATCATGTTTAAAGGCCCTTTTCCAAAAATTACTTTACATAAGTTCAGGCTAAAAATGTTCACACTGCATATCAGAAAAGCTGTGATTTTTGAGTAACACACACACACACACATATATTTGGTGCAGCAATAAATGTGTACTGGCATGAGGATGGCTCAAAAAATAGAGGTGCACAGATGTACACAAAATGTGTACAATGTCAAACAGATGAAAAAGAAACCTCAGCTTTCTCTTACCATAAAATATTCAACATGCACATCCTCCCTACTAAGATACAGAGAGTATATTACTCACAATCAAAAAAAAACCCACTACATATCAGATATCATGCAACATATCTGAGGTGTGACTCAATTCCAGATTGAGCTTGTGGAGCTAATGTTAAACTGAAGGAGAAGACCTGGCCAGCAAAATGTTCTATAGAAAATTTTACTTATTGTGACTATTAACTAATTTTTTTATTATGCGACTCTTTGTTAAGTGGCACAGATTAAGAAGTATCCAAACAGCTCTCTTAGCAGACCTGAAATAACAAGCAACTGTTTGCAGACAGTTAAGACATATGCTTTTATAACATATTCTTCATTAACATTTTAAAAAACTGAAGAGTTTGGAATTTTTTTAATTCATCTTTTAAAATAATCCTACTAATGCTGTGATGCCTGTCCACAGATGGTATTCTACAATACGAATAGAGCTGAAATTTTAACTAGTTACAGTAATACAAACTTGGCTTATTAATATCAAATATGTAAGATAATTGGAGGAAAGGAACAAAACCATGGAAGCTAAAGTACAGTGAAACTAAAATCAGACTTGTTTGCTGCTAACCAAGTCAATATAGAGCTTGATTAGGATAAATTTCAGTCATTTTAGGGCTAACAGCATATAAATAGCTATCTTTCAAATAGCTGCAAAACAAAACCATTAATAAATTGACTAAACAACATAACCTTCTGACACAATATCTGAAATAGTAACTATTTGGGAAGGAGAAATTTTAACGTCAGCTTTACCTTGTTAAGACAATTAAGATTTAAAACAAAAACACCGCTACAGTTAATCACAGACTATCTACAGAGAAGCAGAAATTACATTTAAAGTATCTGTGATCCATAAGGAAAACTTCAGTCAAACTAGGTGCTGTCAGTATGAGATACAGGAAAAACTGTGTAACATTTGAAGGCATGAAAAAGACAGGAAACTTTGGAGTAGTGACTCTATTTTCTCACATGTCTCTACTGCTTATAGGAAAATTAACTCTCCCACACCAACAAATGCCTAACAAGAAAACAAACTTTTAAAATGGAGAATTTTAAAGAATATTCAAATAAAACCTTTGGCTAAATAACCTCTGTGACTTAAAAGAATGAATCGCAAATATTCTTGGAAAGAAAACATTAATTTCTGAAAAGCTAAGGCAAATATATATTCGACTGCCAATATGCATCCCCAGTTTCTAAAACTGTCAGAATGCACCTGCTTTCGAGAAGTATCCGTGGAGGAACAACACACAATGACCGAAGCCACTACTACTACAGAGATAGTAAAAAAGCAAGAGATATTCCTTAAAAAGTGGTTCTTTTAAATAAAAAAGTAAAATCAGCTTAATTTTCCCTCACATAAGGGATAGCACTGAGATCATCAAGATGAGACAACAGAGTAAAGAAATTTGTAGTCCAGTTAATGTTATGATACTCTAAGCAAATCATACAAACATAAATGAGTCTTCTTTTGAGCAATCCACCTAAAGCACTGTTTAGCATCACTCATTTCTAACACAGGAAAGAGTATCGGCAAGTAATGAAGCTGAGAAATAGATGACTTCAGAAATGAAGAACTGCACACATCTGTGCCAATCTTTCATTAATGCAAGATTCAGGGTATAGTAGAAGACCACACATTTTATAACCTACGCAGACATATACACATTTCTCACACTTTTCTTCGCACAGTTCAAAAATACTCAACCTATTTTGTGCACAGTTTATGAAAACATGCACTTTAAAAAGCCTTCTGTTACCCACCCATCCATATCATTGCTCAAAGCATTCCAGCTTTTTTCTCTTTCATATACATACTACAGTATTATTTTTCCAATCCAGCTTAAGCATGTGATCAAACTCATTAAGAATTAATATATCAACTGCAGTGCTTCCATTTGCAATAACTGTAATTCTAGTAACCACAAAGCTATTCAGCTACCCTCTACACACATTAAGGCTGCATAATTTACATATTTAATTAATTATTATAGATCATATGCTTTTGTGGAAAGAAGTTATCCAGGTTGCTACAAAAGTCAGTTATTAATTCCTTATCCTTTCTCAAATGTCACTTATATTAGCTTTTACAGATACATACCAACTGTTTTCTGCCGTACTATGCTTCTTGCCTTTTCTGTTCCTGGAGAGCCAGTGGTTGTAGCACTGCGTTGTCTCATTGGTGCTTGTCCGGGCTGATCACGGCTCCAGCCTCTAGAAAAGGATTTATCAACCGAAGATTTTGGGAATTCATGCCCAACTCCTGCAAAAATAGAATTGCAAATCTATTCACTTCTATTCTGGTATGACCAGATATTTGTAGTTGTGTTTTTTCAAAGAGTTTTAAAGCTGGATAGAATAAATTATGTTATCAAAGCAAGTGTGATTTCAAAAGTTGAACAGCTCGTTACTGTTTTTTAAATATATAAGCCCACTCAGTCAATGTTAAAGGGATACTCAAACTTCTTCAGAAGCGTTGGTGCTATTAAACTACTGTGATTTTCTTTCCTGACCAATCAAGTGCAAAACCACAAGAAAGCTGGGTTTACAAAGGTTGTAGCCTGACAAAATTTGTAACTACAGAAATTTTTCCTTTGTTGTTCCTATTGGACAAGACACACAAAATCATACATTGCAGACCATTCACAATGTGGGGACTTTTCCCAAATAATTTTGTGACATTTGAATAAAGATGATAAAATACTTTAACACGAAATGCAAAAGCAGAAAAATGGGATGATGAGCTCAGAGAACAGGCTCTTTGGAAATTCACAAAAAAAATACTGTACTAAGATTAAGAAAAGATGCAGCAAATTCAGAGTTGATATTTATATTGAAGTAAATAAAGCTCACATGAGGAGCTACCAAAAACTACTGTATGTAAAAAAGTGAACTAAAGAATATTTGCAATATATTTCCTTATCCACATTGAACTCATACAATCGAAAATTATACTTGATAAACAATTACAATCATTAAAAGGGCATCTTATTGCAAAGTGATCCCTAGTAAAACATGTTCAGTATTTTTAGCAAATGAATGGGGCTAAAGAAATCTGGCATAATCTGTATGGTATTTATTACGTTCAAAGTTAGATTTAACTCTGCAGCTCACGTTTAACAACAAAGGTTTTCTCTGGAACTGTTACTGAAGGCTAACATAAACTCTTCCCATGTGGCTCTGTAAGGTGATACAGATGATTCAAAATGGTTTTTAAGTCTATATTCAAAAAACTGTACACATTATTATCCCACATTAGACTTCTTTTTTTAAAACAAAACAAAACAAAAAACTTTGCCTTTTGCAAGAAAAAGAAGAAAGTTAGATAGTACAGGAAAACAAAAATGCATGGTTTATAACAACGTCTCAGGGTCAACTACAGAGAAAAGCATTTTTGTCCAGTTGTGACACACCAGAAGAACAAAACAGAAGTGTGAATAATGCCTCTGCCCAAGATGAGAAATTTGGAAGCACAGGAAATGTTTTTAGCAAAAACAGCCTACAGGAACATCCTCTTTAAGAGAGGGAATCTGCATAGATTACTTCTCACTGACAAATCCTAGGATAGTTGTAGGAAGTACCCTCTCAGGTTTGACTGGAGAACCACATCAATCAGAATACAGAAAGATAAAAAGTAGACTAAAAATTACACTTTTTTTCCATCTTTATCACCCTAAATATAATCTTGCCTCCAGTATTGGATCTCAAAGCACTTTTTAAAGGAGAACAGTATCATTACCCATTTTTTACAGAAGTGGAAACAAAGACAAAGTGATTGCTCATGGTCACATGCAGAAAATCAATCTCTGATCTGGGAAGAGAACCCAGATTTTGCAACTCTTAATCCAGCCCTCTATCCAGGAGGACAGACTTCCCGTCCCTTACTGGTTCCAGAACTGTACCATTATAAGCAAGTAACTACCTCCTCTCCCCATATTATGTCCTACAGAGTATTTCCTGCATTGTTTAGAAACCAGTTTAAAAACTGGTACCATTCATATAGATTATTAAAAGTATCCTTTCTCTTAAATAGTCCAACAAGGTCGCTTCGACAAAACCTGTCTTCACCAAGGCTTAGTGATGAATTAGTACCCAAATAAAACTATGTTTACCTTACATTTCATCTTTAAACATTTATTGGATTTCAGGATCAATATTCCAATTGTGCTTGCAACTGCCACTTGCTAGCTGGCTGATTTTTACAAGATGCATAATCTTCGTTACTTTTAAGAAGCTACGACTAGGACTCAATTATTTAATTGCTTTGATAAAAGGAGAAAGGCATAACCCACTACAGTGTAACATTCTAGGTCAAATTCAACACACCTTTAAGAACTACAATCCATATGTGCCTATTTGCAGGACTGCATCTTAATGTGAGGATTTTGTGGCGGTTCTAAAATACAGCCTTATCTTAAGAAAACCAGCTTATTTCAGGTGATAGAGATGCCTAATTAGGTATACTAAAAAGGCTAGATCAAAATTATGCTGTGCCCAACATCTCATTACCCCAGCTCAAATTCAAATGATGTGCATACAGTATTTTCTTACCTTTGCCTTTGTGTTTTTTCTGCTTCTGCTCACTTAATTTATCCAATGGCAGGTCACTGAGGTCCAGGCTATACAAGTTTCTAGCTAATACTTTAGTTAGTGTCTCCATTGTCAGTGACCACTCAGTGGCCAGCTCTTCCCAGTATGTCAGTGATGACATTACAGACAGCAAGTCATCCCAAAGTTCTCGAGAGATGTACACATTTAGATTCGCTTTGATCCAAGCTACTATAAGAGTCTAAAGGAATAAAGTGAGAAAAGTTGGGTTTAGAACATAAGATGACAATACTCAAATGTTACTGCTTAAAAGGAAGCTTCTAACAGCCACAGAAATTTCTGTGTAGTCCTGACATTATTTTCCTCACCAGTACACACAAATTTTTCATGAATTATCAAGTGTGATATTAACATGGGCTTCTGACTTTGATACAGGAACAACTGGTTTGACTCATGAAAGATCTTTCGGTATCTTACAAGTTTTGCCAGAGTTTTATAATACTGTTCTCAATTAGCTCTCATCACATTCATGTCTTGGTGTCCTTTTTTTCGTACTAAAGAAGACCTCACAGATCCTGTTTACAGATGAGCCACCACAACAGCACTCTGCAACAGAAATTTTGAAAGGATCTGCTACAGCTTACTGTAAGGAATAAAAAAATCAGTTGGCTAGGCATAATGGCGCAGAAGATTTTGTGCTGACTTGAGCTAATTTTGCAATGGAAGCAGGCTAAAACTGTACACATTGCTAGTTATCCCAACTCAACTAAAAGACAGCATTTTTTTGATTTCACACTACCCCAAAAACCATTGTCATGGTGTCATTAAATACAGGGCAGAAAGTAACAAATGTAGCTAGTTCTTTAACGCACACCATTCATTATCTGGGTAACATGATCAATGATTTAAGATGACAAACCAGTCAGCAGTGGTTGTTACATCTAATCTTTTGATCAAAATTAAGCTGAACTAATTAAAGTGAATTTATGTTTAATTGCCTGGAAAAGAGGTCCTGCAAGTCTTCCAGCTAAAGTAGAGTTTTTTCTTCCTTGATACTGCAAGAAAGTTTGGGGTGGTATTTTCAGCACAGATTCAGTAACCCTGAGCAGCACAAGTAGCATCTGTTCCCTGCAAAACAATATCAAACTTAGAGTTACCATTTTGTTATAGTTCTGTATATACCAGGATACTTTTAGAGATAATAACCGAACTTGACTTGTTCAAATACATTCCAAACAGGGCATAGTGATTACAAACAGCCTAACTTTGTTCTTGCAAAAGAAATCACTCCAATCTTCTTTCCACACTTGAGAGTGAGGAATCCTTATCGCCCTGTAACATCTTCTGCCAGGTCATTCAAGTGATATCACCTTAGATGGCCTGAAATTATAGGCCAAGTTTTAATTATACTTCCAATCTGAGCTTTTACCTTTTTTTTTTTTTTTTTTTTTTTTGTTAATGTGTCACTATCAGTCATCAGTCACGTAACTTGGTATGAATGACAGGTTTTGGCAATGTTACATTATCATTAACATACTTCATCAATTCTTTTGTGTGGTACAATCCTTGCCATCACCGTCTCGAGTCACTTCTTCACAGTGGCGTGAAACTGGGGAAGAAAATACTAATCTACTGGAATCTGCTTTCTATTCCTACTCCCAAATTTCCCAGTGGCTAGCCTTGAATTGACTTCTTATTTCCTCACAAGAGGAGACAAGTTTCACGTAACATGTAATGCCAGCTCTACTTACCCAGAGTTCAGGAAATACTAGTGACAGAGTGAATGCAAGTCAAGTTAAAATGGAGTAAATCAGCCATTTGAAATCGCCCTGCTATTGCCTCCTTGCAATGGAAAATGGTGGCAATATACTACCACATTAGAGACAGCTATAAAGGAGAGGGGGAAATAACAGAAATTAATTTGAAAGTGAGGTCCCTTGTACCTGCTAGGCACCTTAACCACTGGAAAGGAACAAACAGTTAAACAGTACATGGACTCCTGTACACAATTACACATTAAGAGCAACCCACATCTGATTATAATAGTTATCCATGCTTATCAGAGGATTTTTTGTTCATTTTTAAATAAGGCTGTGAAGCTTCATATATGTTTTCATATTTTAGCACTTTGACACATGAGCAAAATGCCCTGGAAAAAAGTCATCAGTAGCTCCTTAATAGTAGTCTGTATATCCTAGCTTACTTCTTTTTTCACTGAGGGCTAAGCTGTCTCAAACTAACTAGGTTTGTACTACTGGCTTTAACAGAGTAGATAACCTCTTCCCCTGTGGTAAGCTGTCTGTGATGTTAAAGTCCATGTATTCACTGATTTAGAGAAACTGGTTCACATAGTCAATACCACTCTACTATGTTTACTACCAAGTAAATTTTCACATTTATCTTGTGAGCTAATAATCTAAGAGAAAAGCATTAGCAATTTACCATGTTTTCTTGTCCATAGTCACTTGGACTACCATGTGACGGTAAATATTAAGAATGCGTTTGCACATATCAGTGTGTTCATCCAGCAGAGCTTTAATTTCATTTGCAGGTTCAAGAAAGAATATATTTGAAGAATTTATTATAAAAACCTGTAAGTAGAAAAGAGTGGATATTATGGGCTTGAAGCACTTTGATATTTTCAGCAATTCAGTTGATAGTAATCAGGAAGAGAAAAAATCTATGATTAACAGAAAAGGTGGTATATACACTCAAAAGTATATATTTAAATGTAAGTTAGCTTGATGTGACAATAAAGCAACAATAAGACTGATTTTTTCCCCATTTTTTTCTACAAAACCTATTTGTATATTATTGTTCTCATAGACAGATGGTACAACAAACTACTCAATACAATTATTCTCATATGATGGACAAAAATGTCCCAGTAAAGAAGTCCACTGCACAAAAGTTCCACCTGTAAGCCAGAAACTGACTAGTATAGTATAAGCTAAACTACTTGAAACAGTCCTGGTACAGAGTGTGTGCTTCATCATGACAAGGCTTGTATTATGTTCCAGGAAACCAAAGCTTTCATCCCACTGTGATCAGTAAGGCTTCCCAAAAGTAGGAAACAGGATATCTTCTTCAAAGTGGTAGACTTCAGTGGACAGTGAATTAGGGCTTTCAGAATGAAAATGAAAACAAAGCAGGCAAGGATACTGTAGGAGCTACTACTGAAGTGTTGTTATAGTCTTATGTAAGTTTAGGAAGTATTTGAATCACAGTCAGCCCTAAATTTCCAATTATTTTTTATTTGTCTTTCTTAATCCACATGTACAGGAAATCATTGGCTCTACAGTTGTAATTTACCTTTACCAAGAGCTTTGGATTTTAATAAGTAAAAACTATTAGTATGCAGCTTTACTTTCTCTAGTCTCAACTAATGAACCTACCCTACTCTAAGTGCCTAGAAATAAGTCTGTGCAAGAATTAAATGGGAAGAAAACTCAAGACAGAAGTCTTGGATTCTAGATTCACAGAAAAAGTCAAATGTGGTTCCAGGTCGAGAAACCTCCCAAATTCAGACATGCTACTGGGTTAGAATGATGTCTTGACTCCATTTTGGGCTAAAAGAGATATATGCTGGTCAAATGAACCTTTGTCTAAAAAAACTTCAACATGAAGAATCTCCCAGACATTCTCAGATGTGTAAACCTTAATAATACACTGCAAACAGACAAAGATATGTCACTGTTTCTTTTCTCAGAAACACTTCATATTCTAAATAGTCATTGTATGCAAAGATTATGAAGCTTGAATTATTGTAACATATTTGAGTTTAAAGTGATTGCAGTTACAAAGGTTATTTCTATATACAATAGTGTATGGCACAATAGGAAACTCTATTTAGGAAATCATTCAAGCTGCGGTAAAAATAATGAGTTCTAATTAGCATGGTCACCCATGGTAAAAGAACACATGGTAGAGTGGCAAATGCACATGTCTATTTTATTTGGTTCAGTATCAGTTTTCTTCTAGATAAAAGAATATTACAGATAAAGATGAGAAAATAACCCTGTACACCTTATTATTCAGATTAGGAAAACTGCAGGTTCAGATGTTTTATATGTGGTGACTGATAGCTTAAAAGAAAAAGGCTTCTATGCATTCTCACTAAACACTTAATTAAATAATTTGAAGATGTGGCACTCAAATGAGAATTATTTTTCTGTGTTATAATGCAGAGCAGAATGCATCTCCTGTGTTATCCGATGCTTGTGTATACATTGTCCTACTTAAGGTCAATAAAGATATAGTGAACCACTGTCATTATTCTAACACTATTTATTATCATATTTTCAAAATCTAAAATAATTTTAAAAATTCAGAGATGCTTTAGAAGGAACATGGGATTCCCTTGCAGGAGTATTGCATTATATTCTATTGTAATATATTCCACTCTTCATGTGCTTATAACAAGAACTTTACAATTAGGATGAAAATTAGTTATCAAGTCTATTTCATACCTGCAATACTGACTGCACTCCTGCTCGTACATTTTGCTCTTCAGTATCAATTTCGGATATTTTATGCAAAGTGTCTTCGTAACAGCCATTTCTTGCCCAGTTTGAATTTCTAACATGACTGGAGTTCATCCCTTTTTCCTGAAAAATATTTATTTCTTAAAATCCCATACCTTTGTAGACAAGTATTTTGGTTTTATATTAAAGGAAAAAGGACATAAGAAATATTAAAAAATAAACAACGGTAGACAGATGTTTAAGATGCATCTTAAAGACACAACTATGTTTTAAAAAGTTTGTAGCAATTATTTTAAAGTATCTGGATAAAATAACTATTATTTTCCTCATCCTTTTATCTGTACACAATTTTTACACAGCTGAAGGTTGGCTTACTGTATAATCCGCATCTTGAGAACAGTTCATAAAACTATATGAAATTTTAAATTGAACTAACCACACTGCAAATCTACAGATAATGGATCAAATTGGTAGCTCATTCATTCACTGTTTAATTACCATTGATTTTCCCCAAGAGATGCTCTGATATCAAATTAAACGACATACAATCTGTCAAGGCGGCCACTTCTCTGTCTACTAGCTTATCAAAAAGATGTGCAAATATTAACAAACAATATTTTACCTCTTCTCTTTCTTTTGCTTTCTCTGATGAATTGTGGTCAACAACATTTTCATCACAATCTTCAGTTGTGCACTGCATTATTTCTTCAGGTTCTTTCATAAATAAAGGCTTGTCTTCTTGCTGAATCCACTCCTGATACACCTTTACCACTTTCCTCATGGCAGCTGCTTCACATATCGGCAACAGAAATGCCTGTGAGTAGAAAAAGAAACAAACAAAAACCCAGTTACAATACTTGAAATCAAGTTGAGCTCTATAACGTACAGGTTCTAAGGGATAAGGCAGGAAAAAAAAAATACAGCCACTGTAGATCTTAACAAATAAATCACTCCTAAACCTAAATGTTTGCTCACTTAATCTGTAAACTGAACACATGAAAAAAAATGTTTGAACAAGAAAATTTGTCAAGAAAGTACTCTGAAAACTTCACTGCCAAAGACAGAGACATGAGAATCCATACAGCCATATCTACTCAACACCTACCTTGCCGAAATTAAGACCTAAACACTCATCAAAAGTGTACAAAAAGAATGAGCAGAAGTTTATTACAACGTCTTCCATTCAAGGGATTTGGAAGAGTGGAGTTAAATCAGTTCTAATGACCAAGAAAAATTCAAGTGACAGTCATCACTGGTAGTCATGTACCTTATCTTTAGCTAAATGAGATTTTACAAAACAGTATCCTTAAAACAAATGACTCCCTGAAAAGACTTCAGAATTACCGTTTCCAAAAAGCATGCATTTGAATCAGTGCGATGGCGGATCAGTGCCCTCTTCAGGAGGTTTGCTGTATCTGCTGTGCTGGTAACAACTAGTCTCAGACAGGAACTGTTAATATTAATCAGGTTTTAACTAACTATAAATACATTTACCAGAGACCATGATGCCCTAACTGTATTAAAAATAAAGAACAGATAAACTACGCTAACACATACTTCAATGGAGTCCACGGTGTGAATGTTGAAAACTCATTGCCCATGCCTCTAAGTAGTGCCCACTTGACAGAAGCAGTATGTTCTCTGGAAACAGACATTTCATACCAGTATGGCACTAAAAAGAATTTTGTTGTGTATTTCAGAATTCAACTGACAAGTTCATCATTCACACACTATCACTCATGAAATCTAACAGTCTGATGCAAGCCCATAGACATTTTTTGCACCCTGGAGTCTAAAACGCATAAACCTTTTTTTTCTACAGACAATCTTCCCACCGTTCAGTAAAACTGAAACCTCCTGCTCACTGGAATAACTTAGTCCTAATATTTTAGAAACATTACAAACATCTGGCATATTAGAAATTAACTTACACTGAAAATTTCTGGTTAAACAATTACCTAAATGAGATCTCATAACTACACATGAAATCCAAATAATCTACGTAACTCAAAGAGTGCCTTGTGAAAAAAAACAAAGAAAATTGCATTCACTGTCCCTTTCACTGGGGTGAGAGTTTCTAAATAGACCATCAACAATTTAGACTCTACATTGAATGTCTCATACTGTAAACCCTTGAGTGACAGCTGAATTCTGGCAACTTTGTTATCTCCTTCAGCAACATGTTGAAGGTTTTCAACACACCGGATGTGGATAAGCTTCTGACATTTATTTGCCCCATTTGAAAATACCATTTCATCCAGATATACCGGAGTTTTTAAAATGTTTAAGTTTTCTGCTGTTTAAAGCAATTAGTGTCACACATTTCAAGGGAAACTTAGTATATTTTTCTTCACTATTATTCAGAAAAATCTCTTCATCTTTTGATCTATAGCATGGGGCATAAAGAAAATCTACCTTGTTCTATTCTCCTACATTGAACTCAAAGTTATGTATTTTCACGTTATAAAGACCTCATATTACAGCATATGTTCTCAGTTTAAATTTGTTTAAATAGTTTCCAGTTGAGAAACACTATTTTGAGTATGCTCAGCTAGCATTTCTGGTTGCAGTAAAGTCAGAAGCAGAAGCCATTACCTTCTATGGCCACCTGTCTCGCTCTTCTGATGAACACTCTCAAGGTAAGGACATTCAACTGCTCCTAAAATCAGCTCTTTAACAGCTGCAGACTCCCGCAGGAGGCTTATTTTAATATGCTTGGTTGTGAGCCCTAATAGCTATGGGGTTGATGTACGAAAAGATCAAACATTCCTGTCTATGGGAAACTGTAAAGTCCAAGTTAAATGTTGTCAAATTGGTTATTAAAGAAATAAAACTAGAAAAATCAGGAACTGAGGATATTCTACACAGCAAATACTTCAGAATTTTAACTTTTCAATTCTTAAATCTTAAAGGCACAATGACAGAAAAAAACATTTATATAATATTCTGCTTAGCAAATGCTTCTGAAAGAAAACCATGACATAATGATCATTTACAATATAATAATCAAGATTCGTGCATTCTAAAGAGGGTTCTTTACCTGTCGAAAAATCTCAGTTAGAAAATTAACATTGCTTCTTTTAGAAGAAAAGACTTTCCGGACAATTTCAATATCAGTTAAATGCTCTTCATCAATACTGCAGAGACTGGAAGAACTTGGTTCTCTCTCTGTTAGAGTACTTGTATTAGAATGAGATTGCTCTGGCTCTGCATTTCTATCCTGCTTATCAGTACTGTCATTTTTGTTGTCCTCCCTTAAAGCCATGCTAGCAGCTGCTCTCTGAAACAAAAATTAAAGAATATTCCATAGCTCACTTTTAGTACAACAATTTAAGTTATACAACAATTTAAGTTATACAACAGTATAATTTAAAACAGTACAAAGAATTAAGAGAAAAAAACCAAACAAAAATAAGATTCATTGCATTTCAAGGTTTATGTCTATTTGATTAAAAACAAAACAGCAGAATTAGAAAAAAAAAGCATAGTGAGTCCTTCTAAAGTGAATTCATAAGCAGAAAATTTGTTCAGAAATTCTTTTTTTATTTCTTCATTAGTTGTAATTATCAGATGAGTGCACACTACTGACATAACAATTAAAACCAAAACATGAAAACAAACACTTCTTAGTATATTTGGTTTTACCTGAATATTCTTTGGCACATTTTCACCTTCTATCCCAGGAATATGAGGTCCTGTGTGGGGTTTTGGCTCAAGCCAGAAAGACACCAACCATCGAATGACAATAACACGAGCCTTAATAAAAGGTTCCTTTGTGCAATATACTGCCTCATTGGTTTCAGCATCTTTCTTAACCATTACATAGTGTGGCTTTGGTCTCATTTGTGGTATATCTGTAAAGAAACACAACATCTTAAAACTATGCGCAGAGAGAAAGCTCTATATAAGAAAGAAATCCTAAAACCATAACCAATACATGTGAACTTTCAGAGGTGCTGTTTTTTCCATATTCACTGTTGCACAGCTCATCCCAAGATGTGCCGAAATGGACATGATAGAGAAAATGTCAAGACTAGACTTTAAGACATCAAAAGGCTGTAATTTTCTCCTGGAGGAAGATAATATTGACAGCAACTTGTTTCTGCTATGCAAAACCTTTAATTTGTTATCTGAAAGAGATTTCTAGAGCCTTATGTCCTTCCTTGCATTTCTTTTCTAAACAAGTAAACACATTTCTGTTCATTGTTTTCAGCTTTTTAAAAGCTACATGCTTTGCTCAATATTTAAAGCTAAACTTCAGCAAACTCAATACTTTACACTTTCATTGAAAACTACAAAGGAGTTTTAAGTAGCAAAATAATTGTTAACTAGACTATAAAATGACCTATACAAGAAAACTATTTTCATACAGAATTAAGATTTGTCCAATTTCTTAATTTTTAAGAAGTCTTTATAGTTGTTTACATTACTAAGCAACAGCTTATGTAACTCACACTATTTTGCAGCTTTTTTTTTTTTTTTTTTGAGAGAGAGAGTCCTATATATCACCTATCGCCTACTACCAAACCTACTAGGAAAAGCAGATGCAGTTCAGATGCAAGAGATCACCACGCTTCCTAATGCATGCCTAGAAAGACCTCTCTGTTGGTCTGCAGCAATCCACAATAAAGCAATATAATTAGCAATAATCGTCATCAGTTCTTTACTGATATACATCCCAGCATCTAATCATGGCTACAATGGGAGAGTTTTAATTCCAAACTGTATTCTAGCAGCAGCTGCAATAAACACAGCTTCTTCTGGCCCTGCAATAGGTGAAAGATTAATAGAACAGAGAGAAATCCTGCTCCAAAAGCCACATGAGTTTTGCAGCTTCATCTAATGCCACATCTGCACTAGCTAATTTTGCTGGACATTGCTGTCAGAGCAAAGGTGCACGCACCTTCCTATGACTCAGCTGAAAGATGGTTCTGTGACCATAGCTTCTGTACTGGCTTACAGGGAATGTAATGAATGATGTCCAGCAGGATGCCAACTGGCAGGAACTGTGGCTATTTGGGGTCTACAATTCCATTTTCTCCATCCCATGTTCTACATGATAGCTCAGAACTGTTTAGCTCTTCTGGTTCTCTGCTGTGCTAGTGACAAAGATGCTGCCAGTGTCATCAGTATTCCTGAATCTGCTTTAGAAAACAGCGACAGTCCTTAATAACTTGATGTGGATGGAACCGACACGGGCAGTAAAAACATTACAAAGCTAGCGGAGCGGGGACACATGTTTAAGTTGCTCATAACGCACATTTCCCTGCAGGGAAAAGTATTAACAGCCCAGTTCAACTCCAGCCATCTATCAGCCAACTCAACACTGCAAAATGTCATTTCTAGGTTTCACAACCCAAGACAGGGTGCAGAACAGTTCTGCAATACCAATCATCAATTTGAGGTAGCTACAAAACCTTCAGGTGCAAATGACATTTCTCTGGGAGTGGCATGCCAACTCTGTTCCTAGCTCTAGAAGGGCAAATATGAGATCTGCTCTGATACAAAAAGCAGATGAAAATTTGTCTGAGTACCAATTCTGACATACTGTCAGAATATACCCTGCTGCTGGTGTTTCAGTCCCATGATTTTCACCTGGTGACAGCACACCAAAAAAAACCAAAACCAAACCAAAACCAACAAAAAACAGTAACAAAGAGGCATGGAAAATGATGGTCCTATCCAGATAGGGAGAGTGATAGACTGGACAGAGATGGTATTTCATCACTGCCTCAACTCTTCTATAGCTTGCAGTCCAGGAGTAAGAGATACGTTCCATGGTTTTACGGGCCAGAAGGCAGTTCAAAGATACTAACGGTGCTGCTAAACTGAGGAATGTTTCCAGAACAGACTTTAAACTTACATCTACTACTTTTAATGGAAGCACTACTTTTAGAGGAGGGGAAAAAAAAAGAATTACATTACTCTTGCATACCTTCCACCTAAGTAACCAATGCACAGAACACTTTTAAAAAAGCTTACAAAGAGTTTATTTACTACAAATAAAAACCAGTACATTGTTTTCATTCCGTAGAAAGCAGCAGGTTACTAAGAAAACTAAAAATTAATATAACTTAAACAGAAGCACATATAACAGCACAATCAGTGAAAGGAGGAAGAAAATGCCTGGTAGCACAGTATTTAAAGATGCAAAAATCGGTTCTCTCTGGTATCAGCATTCAGCAGGGCATGAAGGCTGCAATATTGGCAGTATTTTCAGAATGACAAGACATCCAGTAGACATGCAGTAAATGTCTTCACAGCACACTCTCTCCTGTAGCTTCACGATACTCTCTCAGAACATCCTCTCTCTCTATTCTCTTCTCAACTGTATTATGTGCTGCAGTTGCTTCCCAAATGTATTCTCCTTCACTCATTTCTTGTATTTTCACATTTCTGTCCATCTTGGAAGTAGGTGTCAAAGTTCCAGATGAGGACACTGACATAAACCCAAAGCAAAACAGAAGCTTATTAAATTGACTCAAGCAGCACAAAAAGAAAACATTCCCTTCCCCTAACTTTCCTTTTTTTTTTTCTGTTTTGTTTTGGGCTCCCCCACCACTCCCCTCCCACTCTTCTCCCTCTGGGAACTAGATGTGGGCTGGTGCCAAAAAGGGCAGAAAGCTGTAGGTAGTGGAAGACGTACACAAGGTAGAAACTGAAAAGGCTAGCAAAAACACAGCTATAATGGTGGACACTTGTAGTTTTGACTATGCTTACTTTTGAAGGCAATAAAGGGTTCAGAAGGAACGAGAAGCTGTAGAGAGCTGTATGACAGCCCACTTTATTGTTTCCCTGTAATTGAAGGAGCTCACATAAATGGCCTGGAAATGGCACAGAAAGGTCCATTACTACGATGGAAGAAACAATGTCCCTGGAATCTTACTGCCATATCTGTAGTTCTTACTAAACATTTTCTAAAGACTACAGAATCTAAACAGATGTTAAAAGACAAACCAAATCAATCTCATGGACTCTTCTAAGTCTGTATTGCTCTTCTAAGCCAATGCTCAAGCCAGAATTTGGAGGAGGTGCAATACTAGTTTCTTGTAACTGGAATGCTCAGTGCTTGTTACTATAATCAATGCTTAACAGAAAGAAAAAAAAAAAAAAAAAAAAGAAAAAATCTCAACCCAATATACTATCTCCAGTAAAGCCCTGTGTCAATGCTTGCTCACTAAAACAACCATTTTGATTTGTGCCTTATGACTTCTCCTAAATTAAACATTACACCATTAGTGTAAGAATCATTTTTAGTAGTAGCATTCTGCCTAAATGCTGTCAATTTTATTCAAAATAGACACAGGATTGTTTTCAAATAGGGTGGGAAGATGCATGCTAGAGAAGAACTTCTTAGAGGAAAAAATACTATTCTACTTACCAGCGTTTCTGTTGCTTTAATTACTGTATTCTTGCCCAAATCCTTGCCATTGTTGCTGACTTTGCACAGTTTAAGGCACTGACAGTAGTTTTGGAGATCTGTGCCCATTTCTTCTTGTTCCCCATTCTCCTCTTCTTTACTAAGGCCTTGGAAGTTTCTTGTTTACAGTTCACAGAAAAAGAGAGGACTACAGTAACGCTTCTATGGAAGACTCAATCAAGATCTTCATAGAAAGACAAAACATAATTTCCACATTTCCTGTTCGAGGATGTCAAGCAGCAGTAGGTTTGCTTTCTCAGCGTTCCTTATCATCCTTCTTGTAGCTACTTTATCACTGAACCTCTTCAGTATCTTCACACAACTGTTGTTCTACCGTTGCTTATGGCTGGATTTATACTGTTGCTTTTCCCCTAGATGAGAAGGTCCAAGGTTTGCCTTTCCCAGAAGAATATTGTTTTGAAATATCCACCTCTAAAGCAAGCCACAATCCAAATGCACGTACGTAGACTCACAGAAACGAAGACCTTTTCAGCAAACTTCCCTGACAGCTTGATTTTAGAATATGAAATTGCGTCTGCAGATCACTATTAATCCTTGTGAGATGCTGCCGTCAACAGGTAAGAGGAGCAGTGAGGTGTCCGTATTATTCAAGTAACGAAATGGCAGCTTAAAGCCTGCGTATATTGTACTGCTTTGCAAACAAGAGCCTTGAACTCCATTGGCTTATAACCAACATGTGCACAGGTGCATGCAAACCTGAGCTAGCAAAATCAAGATTTGCAAACAACATTCTAGTATGGAATAGGCTAAAAACCTCTGAGCAAAACTCTAGCTAGGTTTGCTTAGCAAACACCTAAATTTCCACTCTACATGGAAAGATAAATTCTAGCACCATCAGCTTTAAAGGTTGTGTTAAACCCTAGCTTCCTCTTCCTACTGCAAGCTCTTAACAAAACACAAGTGAGACAAAATCATAACTAACTTTGCCGTGTCTGAACTATGAGCAAGCACTGGATTATCCAAATGCTATGATTCTGTACAGATAAAGCCAACATCCCCCAAAGAACGGCACACTAACATCTTTTATCTCAGCAGCAGCAGTTTCTCTACAGAGCACAACTTAAATCGACAACAGAGGTCACATTAAAGAACTGTTTTACAAGAATATTTTATTTTCCTGAATCAGGTTAACACAGCAAGATTGACTTTAATGAAAGGGTCAGGTGCCTCCACGAATAGAGAAGTGAAAACAATGAACAGGAACCATAACATGTTCTCTCCTAAGAAATACTTTTGGAGAATGTTCTTTATGGGCAACACGGCTCAAGCAAAAACCTGCTTTGCTAGACTCTCTATTACAGAAAATGTAATGATTCTATGAGCTGTGTTAACACTTACCAAGTATAGGGTTATACAAGCTGGTCTCCTTACAGATGTTTGGGAAAATGGAAGGTAAGTAGTATTTCTTAAAATTTGAGAATAAAAATGAAAATCCCTTTTCCTGGTTTTCCTTGTTCTTCCATTCTAAACTCTTAACCTTAAAAAAAAGAAGACGTTGGACAAAGTAAACATCTAGAAGTAGAAGAGAAAGATGACTGATGAAACGTCTTCTTTATAAGTTATTTCTTTGGAACAAAATCATATGCATTTTAATAAACACTTTCAGAGAGATGGAACAAACTAGCTAGGAAATGTCAATGAAAAAGACTGTTCTCTTCCAAAAGGTTGCTTCAAAATGAACTTGAACACATCAAATACTGAAATCAATAGAAATACATCTGCTTTTATGGTCAACTTGCCAAGTCAGGGAGTAAATCCAAATTGATTGTTTTTAATAAAACTGGTTTTATATTTCAAAATGTTTTATAAGAAAAGGACAATTACCCGTGCTACTCTGAACATTTGTTTGACAATTCAACACATTTCAACCAACAAGTGTCCACATATTCATTATAATAGGTACTTGGATTCATTCGTGCGGTTGGCAATATGAAACAAATCTGTCAACCACAAGCGGCAGAAGATACAACTTTAAAGTTGAATTACACAAACCTACTTTCATGGATCATGAGTGCTAAGCCTACCCCATTATGAAATGTTTTCCTACTGAAAACCATTATAAGTTCTCCTTAATAATAAACCCAACATGCAGTTTACATCTTTGTCCTGGAGAATCCATCTGCCTGCACAGCTGGGTAATCTGTCAAGTGTAGCATAATTAAAACAAAAGAAGCTTTGGTTTTTCTTCCCCTCATGTGTCACTCCTTCCCTGCCCCCCCCCCTTTTTTTTTTTTCCTTTTTTCCCCCTCTATTCCTTACTTAAAGTCCACAGTTCTATTACGATCTATTTTCAGGGTAATGGGCCTTTAGAATGGAATATACACACATATATATGCCCCCAATAAAATTCAATAGAACGGGTGACTAATACATAGAAATTAGCCACATTAAGTCCTTTAGCAGAACTTGATAACAAAGAAGTAACTATTCAGCTTGAAATTACCAGTACCTGTAAAGAGGCTTCAGCAAAAGACTTTAGCATTTACATAGCGAACAAGTTCTATGACACCCATCTTGATGACTTACCTAAATTTAAATATAATACTACCAATTTATTACAGACAGAATAGTTGTCTTCAAGAATGCAAGGAGTATTTTTATTCAAAGTGAACAGTCACCATCAAGTTTACCCTACAAATCACAAGTATGATGATCTCTATTCAAACTGGGAGATGCTGGAAGCAACAGAATGACATCGCAAATTATTCCAGCACTGTAAATTCACAGAGTAAGACAAAGTGAAGTCATGAAATGTTTCAGTTTAACACTGGCCATATTTGTGCACTGTCCATCCTCTCTAGCATAATCTGCGAAGTATGAAGAAAAACTTATGGATAGATACCCAACTGAGTTCTGCTGGACAAGTCTGATCCAGTAGGCAGTACGCTGGAACACCTACAGCATGTCATGCAGTCAAGCAGTTTGCTGCGCATATGACTGCACAGCAGGCTCAGAAGCAGCATGTGCTAACTGGCCAGCAAATCAACTACACAAAATACAATGGCCAGGCCACAGCTTTTGACAGGAGCTCTTGCCATGCCCTGTCCTAAGCATTTCAAGTACTGGCTGAGATCATAATTGTGTCAAAGTACAAAGGGAAGGACATAGCATGCACCTGAGTTGCACACCGTGGACTAGATACTCATTCAAGTTTTCATTTTCTGTGCACAGTTCAGGTCCATAATCCGCCTTTTAGGTAGCTTGGGATCTGCAAGATCTTATTACCTAGTGTTCACACAGCAATGCCACTAGGAGAGTGCAATCTCAGCAGTGCAGCTACTTTCAAGCAGAACCTAACTCATAAGCTTTGTCAGACCTGAATCATTTGGAATATGTACTGTTTCCCATTGCTTCTCTTTTGAAGAGGTTCACTTGCTCAGCTGTAGCGGTAATCCTAAATTTTCTCTGTGTAATGTGCTGTATTACGCCTGAGCTTACAAGTCTCCTAAAACTGAAGTCCCAGAAAGTACAGTTAAGATACCAACAGGAGTCATGGCACCACCCCTGCAAGTTCTGGACACGAAATATCTTGTTGACCAGAAAAAACACCCAAACAAACTACACCCTCCCGTCACCCTGCAAGCTCTTGCTGGAAAGCCATAATGTCTGTGTCAGGCTCTAAACACCCTGGAGCATTTCTACTAACCAGGGCTTTCCAGTAGCCCAGTGTTTCCATTAAAGAATGGAGAGGCTGTATGGTTAATCTACTGCAATAGTAGAAATTCCAGAAAGACAGCTGGAGGAAAAATATGACCTTAAGCACAGACACTGGTAGTCCCAGACTTACAGACCATTAAGTCTGACTTCCTACTTCTGTTTGGTTTTGCCAGTTAGCCCAAGCATAAACCTAGGAAAAAGGCCAGCAAAACTTTGGGACTCATTAAAAGCCTTTATCACAAAAATCCAATGCTTTCAGTTCCAAGTTCCCCTTAGTTTGAAAAGCAAGTCACTGACCACCATAAAACCCACATGGTAAGAGTGAGCCTACTTGATCCTTCCGCTGGTTGAAGGCAATAGGGTGGGGAGGGGGAGGTGAAAATAGGAAGGGAGCTGAAATCAGCATTGCTGGAAGTGAATGACAAGTCTTGTTTTTTCTCCATGCTGCAATCTGATGCAAGACCCTGTGGCAACAGACCTATGAATCTTCACATAGACAACTGAAGATTTTGTAGGAGAATTTGCTTTTTAGGAAGGACATTTGAGGGAGGGGCAAGGGGAAGGAATGTTTAAAACATTTTTATATACATTTGCAGTGCTACTAGTAAATGTCTTCTCGTAATGGACAAACATGTGTTAGTTGTTTCATATCAGTTTCCTTGAAAACTATAGACCATACCTGAATTACTATGTATTTCAAAAGTGCTTCTAAGAAATAGCTCGTTAAATCTTCTTGTCCTTTATCTCCTGATTGTGGAGGAACAAGTGGAGTGATTTCCTCTATAGTCACTTGAGCTATTTAAAAAAGAAAAAAGAAGTATATCTAACATTTAGACCATTTCTTCTCATGCATAAGTATCTACCAAGTTATAAAAGTAGAAATATACTGGGGTAAGCAGAGTCAGTTAAAGGCAAAACAATCCACCCATAGACTAATGAAAGTTAGGCAATTTTAGCTAATAAACTACCATAGAACTAATTTCTTACATATATAAAAACACAGCGGATAATAACTAAGTTCTCCTTATGCACCTTGGGAATCTACCTGCCAAGACCCAATTTTTCCAGAAGGCCTAATCCATTTCTTTTGGATTTTATGCAAACAATAGTGTAACATTTGTGTTGCACAAATGCCAAGTCTTTATTTACATCTCTCATGATTTTGTTCATTTAGCAGTTGATAAATTAGATTTGTGTTAAGTTTTACTAGCTCTAACCTTCCTTTGCCTCTACAGTGAAGCTACTTCAGAGTTTATTTTTCTCTTATTCCTGTAGTTAGATGTTCGCATTTCACTCTCTGCACTCTGCATTTCTGTGCTGCCTACATCCCCTTTAGATTTGTTCCCCCTTTCCCACTGTAGAGGTATAACACAAGATAACTTCAAAACAGGGCTTAAAGTATGTAGCAAACTTTCATCTGCAGATCAGATGAATTTCACGGTAGGATAGCTAAGTTTCAGTAAATTTAATTACCAGTCAAGGAGACACTGCTTGCTTCTACGACCAATGCTTGTGTCAGCTTTAAAACATTGGGTGGAGGTGGAAAAAAGTCAACAGCACTTCATGTTCAGAGGAAAAAGTGGTTAGCGTCTTATTCACATTTATGTGAATGCACAGTTTGCAGTTACGACCCCATCCAATTGCAATTCATTAATAAATGAGCTTAAAATCCTACTAACAGGAATAAATTGAGTTGGGAGGCAAGAGGCTTCCCAAAGTAACCAGTATCTGATACTTACTGCTAGAATGAACAGTCAAAGGAAAAACTGTTGTAAGAATCATTAAGAGAAAAATCATCCTCTCTCTATTGATTAGAGTCAAGATAATGATCTTCACATTTTAAAAAAAACAAACCACAAATCTAGAAAGTATAAAAAGCTTATTTCAGAATGCTCAAGCCTTTTCACTGATGCAGACGTTTCTGACCTCAGGTTTTGCAATTTACAAGGTCCAATTCTTTTGGAAGATTCCAAGCCACAAGAATACCACAGCTTTAATTGCCTTGCCATACACAGACACAGCAGGAAGATCAACCATTTGACTTTAGGCATTGCCCTAATGACCATACATTCTCTTGAAGGTCATACCAGAAACTGCTTTGCATAGCTTGCTCCCTAGAGTATGGCCAAAGCCAGTGCAAATGTTCAACACAAACACAATCTGCCTGTGCAAGTCTGCAGTAGATGCAGCATCTGCTTGTAATTCTCAAGAACTACATAAAATTGGTCAGTTTACTTTCAGTCACTATATCTTAAGCTACTATAGGCATACTTAAAAAAAAAAACACCAAACCACAAACCACAAAACAAAAACCATCCCACACTGAAAACAAAAAAAGACAAAGTTACTATTGGAGGAAGATCTGATAAACTGCCAAGAAACTCATTAACAGCTCCATAATCTCCCTGGGTAAGTACATATGTTAGTTCTTTGTTAGTTCAACTTGCCTTTTCTGTGCTGAGAACTGAATTACACAGAGAATTGAGTAATATTACCAAATTACTTACTTTCTTGAACATTAAGTGGAGGGTTAATGAGATTATCCAGTGTTCGGGGGCCATATTCAGACTGTGGTGATGAAAATCCAGGAATCAAGCAAGAAAACATCCATAATTGTTCTTTACTACAGTTATTTTGAAGTGCTTGCAGCCACAAAAGAAAGAGACGCACACCCTCTCGCCGTATCTTAAAAGGAAAAAAAACGGAACAAGTTAACTTGTCCCAGAACACACAAAAGCATTTCCATTTGTCCTGGAGGAAGAAGGAGAAGGGGTATGGTAGGAAAGATGAGAACAGACAGACAGTATGACCACCAGCAACCAGCAGAGCCAAGCTAACACATCTGCTGCTCCTGCTGTAATGCAAGGACAACCCTGGCATCTTCACTGCTGTTTGCCTCACAGAATCTCTTTCACAGGGTCTTCTCTGAGAGCAGAGGAAGAAAACCAACATGTGTGTAGTCACTTGCTTGACTACAGCATTGCAAGATGTCATGTGAATTTTTCAGAAAATACGAAGACCATCGTAAAATTTCTAAATGCGTTCGTGAATTGCAACAACAGAGGGAACTTTTTGCAGCAGAAGGACCCATTCTACCCTCTTCCATTCCTTCTTCAAGAAAGGTGATGGAGTCCTAGAGCAGTCACCTCCTAGCTCTCACACTGAAGAATTTCAGCACCAGCCAAACCTGCAGGTGGTTTAGAGAGGAGTGGCATGGTTGGTTGCTACAGTACCAAATCTACATGTTACACTTGGGTGGCTTTTGTCCCATGGTCAACCATTATTACACTATCCACCAACAGGTTTTTTTGGTGTAGATAATCTTCCACTTCCAAGACAGCCTGAGCCCCAAAACCAGTTTCCTTGCCCCTAACAATGAATGGTTAAGGTTTACTTCTGCTTTAATGCAAAATCCTTCAAATCATTTGCACCCACTCTTAACTTGGCTACTCTATTACTACACATTACTACTGTGAGTAGTTCTACTGAGGTAAAGCTGATCATGTGAAGTCATTCCTTCATGACACACAAATCATGATATGGTTTTCATTCCTGTGCCTTTACTATAAAACTTGCTCTTATGTTCTTATTTGTATTTTTAAGCATTTTAGACAAAAGTAGTACACAACTTATTCCAATACCTTTAATGAATTTCCAGTGTGAAGAAGCTTCTTTAAAATCAACCCTAAAAAGAAGAAGGAAAAAAAAAAAAATATATATGCTTGTTTGTTTGTTCTTTCTTAAGTAAGGTGTCAGAGTTCTCGGTCAGACTTGATAGTAACTTTTAAACAAGTCCTTGGCAATCTCCAATTTAATCTTGGTGAACTTGATATCCTCAGGCAACTCTCTCAATGCCAGAAGGAAAAACAAAAGATCACCTTTCACAGCTTCCTCATAACCCATAACATCTTTCCCCAAGAACTTTTTGGGATGCATACATTAAAAGTAAATGATTCTCAAGTCATTAATGTGTATAGTATCAGCATTCCCCATTTACAAATACAGACCTCACCCCAATTTTGAAAGTCATTACTAAGAGAGAGAAAGTTAGGAAAAAAAATAATTACAAAGCAACTTTCCACCTGTGCTTGTTCTTTCTCAGCCACTGTTCTATTTCCAGATTCCCAGATTTAACTCTCTCTAGAAGAGCATTCATTAAATTGGTGTGTTTATTTGTTTGGGTTTTTATTTGTTTTTTGTGGGTTTTTTGTTTGTTTTTTTTTTTCCCCTTCTCCTAGCTGGCAAGACTTTCAAGACCATAATCCCTCTTATGCCACTTAAAGGTTAAGGAAATGAGTAGCACAAACTACTAATAGCTACTAATAAAAAATAAAATTTAAAAAATAGAAAGAAAGAAAGAAAATCAACTTACCAATACTATGAAATTGCCATCTCTGATGAATCCTTTCCGGAAGGAGTTGCAAAATTTTCTACAAAAAACAACCCAAGGATCTATGTTGCAGATACTGCTCTGAGAAGACCAAAGAGTGCTTTCACAAAAGCCACAGATCAGAAGCTGAAGGGTGAAGTTAGAAAATTTCCACGCTGCTTTCCCTGGAAGCTACTGTCCTTTCAAGATAATCCCATTCCTAAAGCTAAGAAGCCCAAAGGCTCTGACAGATTGTCTGGCAAGTCCTGCATTGGCGACTTCACACGTTACTGCAGTTTACGTGGCTCCACTACCTCTCTGCTCGATATTGCTACTTATAGCATAGGGAGTGGAATGGCATGAGTATCCGTCTCAGCTGCTCTGGTTCACAACAGGTTGTATTAGGTTATTCCACCTTTCTAGCAGCTTAAGCTAAGATGCTCAGCTGTCAACTTGCCTCTGTGGCACAAGCAAACACTTGCTTCAGCCTTCTCAACAGAGGGGTAATGAGCTACCTACAGCAAAACAATAAAGACCTGGGGCAATAACGGTCTAATACATCTCCAGCTAGACTGGAGGATGATCATCTTCAGATGGAAAGAAACAGCACAGTTGGTGACAGAGACAGTTAAAAATCTATTATGCAGCACTTCAACATTCATAGAAGAGGCATTAGCAACCTGTAAATAACCTGATTTCCCAAATGAATTCCTGGCCTCCAGCAGCCTGTGCAACTGCTTCCAAAGCACAGGTCAGCTAATATCCCTTTATGTAGGAACTAGCTCTCTTCAGACTCACTCTCCTTGTAACAGCTAACCCTACAGTTTTAAGTACCAACGTACCTTAATTAAAAAAAATAAAATTTAAATTTGTATTTGTATTCAACCATGTGATAAGCATTCATCAGTTTTCAATTTTACGTATTTTTAAAAAACACAATCCTTGTTCTATAACTAGAAGCCTCCATCAAAAAGGAAAGACAAAAACTTGACATTCTAAGCTATTTCTAAACTATAGTCTCTGCTCAGAAAATGTTCCAATTTCATTAAATTAGTTTCTAATTGATCAATTAATCTTAATTAAGTCAAGATACGCTTTTGGTAAGTATATTGGGAAATGCTATTTTCAAATAACAAATCTTTTCGTAAATAAAAGAGATCTATAAAAACTAATTCAGCAGTAGTAATTTATCATGAGAAAAATCAGAGATAACATGCAATCAAAAGGTCAAAAAGATCATGACTATTCAGAGGTCACCTTTACAAGAACTTCACAGTGTGTAATACTTGGGGGGAGGGGAAGCACGACCAAAAAGTAATAAACTATCTGCAGAAGCAAACCCCATCTTTTTCCAGTTAAGACATCTTCCTGCAAAACTGCAAGTCAAATTCTTTTTCTTCTCACACAAAGCACATACATTCAACTCTAAGTGAAAGGAAAAAGGAATGCAGTTAAATGTAAAGCGTATTTCCAGGCAACTGTAGAGTAGCTGTACTGTTGTTATTTAACCAGACGTAATTCAAAGCAAAACACTCATACAGGAATATTCGAGTTATCTTACCTCAAAAATAAAAAGAATAGAATCTAGTTCTTCTCTCTGAGACTTGTGACCTAGATGCAATTAAAAATAAGTAGAAGATACACTTTCATTATCAAAACAAAATATAAAGAACACTGACAAAGATCACTAGATGGGTAAAACAAAAACATACATTTCTACAACCTTAATTTTGCATTCCTTCTGCAAATAAAAAAAAGTATATTTCATAGTTATGGTTTATAACATTTACAGTTTGTATAACTTTCTATTATGGTATCAACAGCTGGTAGAGATTAAGTTACACAGTATCTTGTTAAACAAAACTTAGAATAATTCTGCAAAACACAAAAAGTATAACACCTTCAGAATCCTCACTTTGCAAAAGGGCAAAACCAGTCATCAAATGTTCCTTGCTCACCCCCGTTGCATGCACCTCTAATTGCTCTGCCTTTATTTGCAAAGTTAATGCTTACACATATTTCCGCACAGCTAATGTTGCCATTTGTAACCACAGACACACAGCTTTATTTATAACACCCTGCTTTATTTTCTAACAAAAACACAAGCACCAAGACAAAAAGTGTTCTATTTTAAATACTTACCTTTTTGTTTAAGACCTACTTCAATAGTCACAAAGTTTTCAAAGAACACATAATATATATTTGAGAAATGTAGGTCGAAAAACTGTTTGAGATCGATTGATTCTGCATTCTCTGAAAAACAGAACAGAACATTGTTTTTATTTCTTTCAAATATTCACAGTCAAACACTGCATACCATTATCTCATAGTAAGAACTGAAGATATTTAAAAGAAAAATTATTATTGGTAAAGAAGATCTTGAAGTCTTCATTCTTTTCAACTGAAGCTAATGAAATTCAATATGGCATGCCATAATTAGTGCCCAGGGAATTTTAAAAGAGGAAGCAGCGTTTTCTTGCATGTTCATTGTTTTCATGACAGCACTGCCTGCATACCCCAGTCATGAACCAGAATTCCATCAGGACTAGCACCGTACAGACGAATGTTGGTTTAACTGTTAATATAATAGAAATAAAGCTAATGATGCTGCCCAAACTCTACGACAGAAAGACCACCACTGTCCCCAACCGCAATTACGAGACACAATCAATTTTACTTCGGAAAGTGGTACAAGGATAAGTGAGGACCACCTCTGCTCTGTAGAGAAACAGGTTGGGAGGAAGCAAACAGCAGCACTGGATTCCCACTGCTGCCTCCTTAACCCCTCCAAGCTCCAACTGGCACCTTTCTTTCCAGTCTAGCCCAGTCCCCCTTACTCCTTCGCCTGTGTGGTCTCAGGAGATCAGAAGCTGGGTCCTCAAGGATACCCCAAGGCGCAAACATCATTGTGAGTGTAGAGGGAGGTGCTTTCTTGGGTACACCAGGAAGGTTTCCAGACTCTCTTCCTACAACCCCCTAGATGGTTTTACGCAAATCCTCAGTTAAAGAAATACACAATGATTTATCTAGATTAACTTTAAATTGACAGCTTTAAACAATCAATTCTTTCAAGCCTTAGTACACACTGAACCAAAAGACACTCCCTGTCCTGTTCTTTAACTACATAAGACTAGAGAAATTAAGTGTACAAAACTAAGAACAATAGTATGAGGCACAGAGGAACAGGGAGGCAGTATTTTAAGAGTCAAAATTCTGCCCTTTCAGAATATTGATGTGAAACAGAAAAAAACACACCCCAAAAACATGAAGAAAGGCAAAGCAAATGAAACCTTTACACCGTTCACCAGTTCTATATGTTGAGGCATCATCTTTCATTGCAGATATATCTTTTATAAGTCCTCTTCTAATTCTTTATTGGATCATAGTTTTTTAGAATTACATCAATCTTTATAATCTCACATGATTGGATATACAACTGGTAGAGTACAAAGCACAGAAACAATCAATTGAAAGGATGGCCAAAAGCACAGCATATTTTCAATTCTATTTTATTATGTAGCTCTAGAGGACTGTCCACTCAATTTTATCACAAACCTTGCTATAAAAGTTTCCAATACATGTTCAATTTTTGCAGCACCACAGCATTCTGCCAACATCTTGCATAATCAGTGTAGTGGAGTCAGAGTGCTCTTGGAGAAGACAGTGCTATATTAACAGCTAAGATCAACTCTTAAAGCAAGACAGCTTAGCTAACAATAAACTTAGTGGTCCAGAGTGGCAAGTGTGTGCCTGACCACCTACAGGATTACCAAACCTCCAGTTTTACAGAAACTGCTACACCACTTACAGATCTGCAGCTCAACCACTAGCATTTAGAGTCTGAAATATTACCATAAAGACAAAAAAACCCCAACAATTCCACTTCAAACAAACCAGACCATGATCTTCAGGCAGTCAGGGCAAGCGCACAAGAAATGGAGCTATGACTAGAGCACAGGCACAACCATTAGAACCGCTTCCACTCATGGGGCAGAACCCTAAATGAGTTCTAGACTATGGACAAGAAAATAGAGCAGGAAGCAAACCAAAATGGTTTGAGGTAAGAAGATGAAAGGAAAAAAGCAAGCCATGACTGAGACTTTTTGGGGAAAAGAGGGTGGCAGAAGATAATTTTTCAGTCCATATATTTAACTGCTGTATAGGAATTGCACATAGAAAGCAGTAGAGCAGTTCAGTTGATGTGAAGGAACAGAAAACACTAGTTCCAAATACTAAAGGGAGCAGAAGTGGTTAAACAGGGTCTCTGTCAATCACCGCACAGGAATGCTGCATTTTTGCAGGCACATTAAAAGTTTCGTTTCCGGAAACAGGCCCGCACATTCTTTCCCCAGACATGGGTCAACTCTGAAGCAAACAAATAAAAACAAACAAATGTATTCTTTAAAAACTCAATCTTAACACAACCATTTGTAATTTCTGGAGATATTATTCCCAGATCCTTCAGGTGACAAACTAAAGGCTTGCCTACATAACCAGCTGAACAGCGATTCTCATTTCACCATGTAATCACTGTGTGACACTCACATACATACAACTGGCAGTGTGGTAAGGTGTTCTGCCTTTCCAGGGTTCTGTTTTGGGGGGCAATTTCAGAGGATGGTTCTTTGTTTTCTTATTATTTTGTATTTGAGGACACTGTGGTGCCAATCGCATCAGAAAAGACTCAGAGGAGCATTGGTAGACCTGGATTATCACCATTAGCGCCTAGTTAAAACTAAAAGCATACTTTCAGAATACAGCTACAGCTTAGAAGAGTAGGATCAAAGTAAAAAATTCCTTAACTTTGCAACTTTTCTAGAAAATGCATTTCACTCTGATTTCTTCCTAAGATCACACTTGATAGCTTAATGAAAACCAAGTTTTTGAAATTCAATCCACTTAACAACAACTGAATTCTTGCAATAAATTCTGTCACTTCAGACAGAAGAAAATAAAAATATAACATTTTATTTAATGGGAATTTTGTCCTGGCTTTACCTGAAAATAATACTTTTTTAAAAAAACCCACAAACTAGTTCTGTTAATGCTGAAAAACAGCTTTCTTTCTAAGGGAGGAAAAACACACTTCTGCATCTGATAGGTTTGACACCTAGAGCAAAAGAGAGTGTCTGCTTATTGCTGAAGGACACCTACAGTGATTTAGTAAGCTGCTGGTCCAGAAATTTGGAACCTTGCATTGGTCAAGAAGTCTGGAACTTATTACGTATACCCTGACCAAGAATTATGGCGAGGAGGAGGAGGGGGGAAAAAAGCAGATACAACACGGAGATAACGTAGAATTTAGAAGAGTTTGATCTGGAAATCATCTAGTCTGGCTACCTGCAGACATCATTCCATTTCACAACTACCTCTATACTGAACACAATCCACGTGACTAATACAGGCATGGAGAGACTATTGCTCTCCTTGATTACTTTAACATTAAAACTTCCAGCTGTATGCTGCTGTTACAGCTTTCTTCATTAACTAAGGACATGATTCTTCCTTCTTAATGAAAATGACTCTAAAACACTCAGTTCACCTTTATCCTTCTGATCAACTAAAGATACAGTTCTTCAATTCTCTCATGTTAAACCATTTTCTCCAACACTAGGTCACTGTCTCTTCCCTATGCTCTCCGAAAGTATCACGAATGCGGCATACAGAGGTAAAAATCATTTCCTCTACAAGGAGCATATTTATGTCCTTTTCACATAGCCTTGAACCGGGAGTTCACAGGAAGTTGCTTGTCTGCTTTGGCTACTTAATCTTTTCTGCCTTTTTAAGAAGGGAGACATAGCCTTGTTTTTACATGAAGTGGGATTACACAGAAAACAAGCTTTGCTCCCTAACCTACAGTGCATTTATTTATTATTTTTTTAAACAAAAGAACTTTGTATTCTCCTACCACAGATTCATGTAAGTAACACAAACTAATGTATTCCTTGTGTTCTTGGTACTTATGCCCAGATCAGGAGGAGGGAAGAACTCAGAAATAGATCTGGCACCATATAGGTGCCAGACTTAGGAAAGTTTCACAGAATGGGAGAGGCGAAAATGGGACATTACTGCATTCCAACAATGTAAAAACTAAAGCTTCTACTGTACAAAGCATAGTTTCAGTACACTAAAATCCAGATTTCCAGCACCATTTACGGAAGCTGTTTGTCAAGAAAATGCAGTTCTCTTCATGCTTCACAAGAACAAGAAACATGGATCTTTGATTGCTGATTTTTCCTTAATAATTTTCTGTAACTTAAAAATGGGTACAAATCTGATCTCTATGTTAACTCTGTGTGTTCAGTGGTGCTTCTGTTTTGTTTTAAAAGTTGCATTTAAGCACAAAGAGACACCGTACAGCTTCTCTGTCCTTTTCTTCCTCCCATAAAATTTTTCTAAAAGTAGCTTTATTTTTTTCTAGGTTCAGCATTAAGAAGGTAAATTACCTTTTTTGGTTTAAGTTTTAGGAGCTGTATTCAGCTTATGGATTTCTATTCTATTTGATGCATGACACAGAGAACTTAACTAGTCTTCCATTTTTAGTTATCTAAGCTATTTGTATGAACCTCATTACAAGAGCGTTTAATTACCAGATCAACTGAAATTCATATTTCCATTAAACCCACTAAAATGTGCAAGTTCATTACTCCCCACCTTATAGACTGGAGCTGTAGCAAAGAAGGACTAAAGAAAAAACAAAACAAAACAAAACCAACAACAATCAAAACAAACCAACAATCAAAACAAACCAACTTCTGTGCTTACATGTGACTGTACTCTCAGGAACTTACATTCCTATACTTTCAAGTGGCCAACTCTTTTGAAAGTTAATTGTTCAAAACTTTCTGAAAGGTTACATTCTTTTCAAGTATCTCAGCAAGATATTCAAAACTTAAGTCCCCACAGTGACCATTTTAGGAAGGGAAGATTCTAGGCCAAAATTTTCTTGCCGAAAATTTGTTCTACCACAGAACCCTGCCTGAGAGTAAACTCATTTGCTCCAATGTTTTTATTATGGTTCAACTATCAGCACAGCCCTTTTTAACCAGGAATAACTTGCATCCACAGAAGTATTTCAGTAAAAATGTAACCCTTTAATATTACACATTAGGAAGAGGATACTATTTGAATAGCATATCATACTTAGAGTTACAATGCAAGAGTATCTTCTCTGTGCACTTAAAAAGATTACTTTGACAGATGTAAAACATGAACCGGAAAAAGCAACATAGATTTTTACTGTATATTTAAACTTGTAAGGGATCACCTGAGCCAGATTCTGTAAAGTTTACAGGTTTACACATGAAATAACCCAATCCTCTGTAGGAAGAGCATCTCAGTGGGCTTTAACTTCTATTACACACACTGCCCTGTTTGTTTTCTACATATTACCCTATAAATTATTATAAACTGCTCCACAACATCTGCTACATATTTACAAATGGGTTGAGTTCGCAAGGGAAATGCATCTATATTACTTAGATGATTGCCTGCTGTATGAAATTAAAATATTATACAGCACATAAACTTGTACTTTCTGCACAGGACAGAACTTTAAAGGTAAACAGTCAAAATACTGAACTGAAAACTAAAACAAAAACCCCTCCACAGATCTTAGATAATGTTCTCTTCAGAAAAGTTAATATATTAACATTCACCAGTTCACACAAAGCATCACAGAAATTTACATAGCACTTAACAGAATAGTCTACATCATTACAGATCAAGTTGTGATTAACTTTACATTTGATTTTAAGCGTTTCAGAATTTGATAGTATGTTTACACATATAATTGTTACAGCACATAGTGTAATGAAAACATTATCCTGTCTCATTCTGAGACTTACTGGCTTTTAAATCACTTTCCCTCATCCTTACCCAAAACCAAAATACCAGTGACAACTGCA